GGGTGATTTCACCAGTCCTGGCGTCGATTATGAAAACATTGTTAAAGTTTTATTATATGGGCGTGTTGATGAAGGCCAAACAAGCCACTTGTCCAAACATACGGGGCGACACTATGAATTATTGAGTTGAACGAGTACCGCAGTAATCGATTCACACCTGTCTATGAAAGGTTTTCAATATACAGAATTACCAAGTCGACGGTTATTCATAATCTCTAAAATCCTACAGGTAGCCATCTTTTTATAACAAAGCCTTCACATTACGCTTGAACATTAAATATACTCGTATTCTTATAAATTTTGTTTCCGAGTGTATTGTTTAAATGTTTTACTATTTTGTCAACTTAGTATGGGAAAATATCTTATCTGTTCTGAGTTTTTAAATGCTTAAATTACAAGATTATTAAAATCATGGCCAGTTAAAGAAAATGTCTATATCAAAGTTTTTTTTAATGTCCAAATTTTGCTTCTATTTGAGTTTAAATAATTGAAAACAATAAACTATAATCAGTATTGTAGTTTGAAAATAGTTCCATTTCGGTAAATTTAAATTGAGATAACTTACGTTAAGTATGAGTAGAAGAGTTACCGCTAAAAGTAGATATATTTTAGTGAGATTTCTATATGTATGGCACGTAATTGTGCGTTCTAACTTTTGGTCGACAGGAAAAGGAGAATAGTACCTACTTCGATTATTTTACATACACTACTTGGGACTCTTCAGTCGTAAGAAAGATTAGTGGAGAACATTGAGCATTCATATCATTGATTAATGGATAGCTTGGCCCTTTGTGGTGTTCGTAATACTATGTAAGGGGTTGTCCCTATGTTTGGCGCTGCAGTTGGATCGCGTGCGCCGGCCGCCCTTCGCTTGTGCATTACTTATGCATGTGCCGAGCTAAAGCCCCCCGCAGTGGCCAACACACCCCAGCGACTATTTTTATTCAGACTTTGGGATTTAGGCGACGAATGCACTGATGAGTCCTCACGCGCCGCTTGCTTAAAATCGATAGCGCTTGGTTTGTATGATCAAATTTCATGCGTTGAATTTTTCATGTACCTACTTTAGGACTTGTATTTTTTCTAGTACAATTATATGAGTCATCTAATGTTCGACCATTAAACTTTCATAAAATATTTCACAATCCAAATACATAGTTACGAAGGTACCTATACCATTACCGCTTACTGCTTTTTAGATGTAGTAATTGCATGATATGCTTATTGAAGAAACAACGGAAATCTGTGATAAAAATAAATTAAAAACTTGTTTTTAGTTGTATGGTAAAAGTTTATTTCGCCGATGATTACGAACACCCCCTTTATTATGGGCCTCTTAAAGTAGGATATAAAAAGAAAAATCATAAAATCAGTTAATTTTCTTTAAGAAGGAACATTCATTTACAATGTATCGTAATTGGATTTGGAAGCTTAACTCCAAAACTATATCCATAAATCGATACGTGTACGACTCGTTTGTAATTGTACGAAGCGAAGCCATAGTGGTCTGACGGTTGCGTGGACTGCGATACTATCTTACTTCACACCAATCGACTATCTTTGCTTTATCGCTACCAGGAAACTTGTAATTACCGACACACTGTCACTTTGATGTGATTTCAACAATAAATTGGCAATAAATTCACGTAACAATGACGTTTATTTACAATTCGGCACGATTGTTAGTAGTTAGTTTGTTAAATTTGTTAAAGACTACCTCAAGTAATTGAGTCTCCATTATCAGTCCTCTCTCTATCTCTCTCTCTGTTCATAGATATTTTCTTTAAGGTCTCCCAGGTTTTAGTTTTCAATTATTTAGAGTGAATTAGAGATAAACCAGATTTACCGTATGGAAAGTGTGGGTAAAAGACAAATTAATTTGCGACGTCGCCACACTAATAACCTCGGAGTTGTTGAACACGATCCAAGTATATTACAGCGTCTTCCGTATCATACGGATGTGTGGCATCTGGCCCAAAATCTTAGTTAATTTCTTAGCATTGCAGTGTACATTACTAATGCAGATTAATTTAGTTTGATTCTGGCACGCACAAAAAATAATTACTTCCTTCTTATACCAGAAGAGACTCGACGAGCGAAGGTAGCACAAAAATGTGTACACTTCTAGCATCGTGCAGTGACCCTGCTCATACAGGAACACTTCAGTGTAGTAGTTCCGTTCCCTTTGTCACCATCTGAAACTCGATCCCCGGCCGCGCCTTCCGCAAGAAGCCCTTCGATTCCATAATCTTACCGCGTAGATTACTTACTAGCAACATTAAACAATATACAACTTATATATGTACTAGACTATTTATATTGCACCAATTTTGTTTGTTCTGTTCTGATGATCCTCGAGACACGGATTAGTGCAGCTTTCTTTCTGTCTTAATTATTATTTATGTATAACAGCTGGCGAGCAGAGGTTGGTCGAGCGAGGCTGAGTCCGTCCGGCGAACGACGTGGTTATTTATAAAACAGAGTTGCGTCTCGTTTTGTCTTCGGCGCGCTCTTTATTTTGTCTAAATATACGCAGTTTTGGGAACGTCGTCGCGGCCGCCTCTGCCGCGACATCAGTTCTGGCAACGAGCCAGAGCCTCATCTTTACTCGCAAGCTTATCTTTTGTATAGACCTACAAAGCATACCTATATTATATCAATGTATATTTTAAATATTGAAGATTGCTTTATTGGTAAAGATAGTTGCGAAAGTACTGTAAGGTTGATGTACCTAACTGAAATGGTGCTAACCAACAAAATCCTTCTCTTCAAAGGGCTGAGTTAGCATTAAACATAAAAATCAACATAGTCGGCTCATGCCACGCACGTGTTTTGTCCAAAAATAAGTGTCCCGATCCCAAGACGGGAACTGGGGAGGGGTGTAATTAATCGCTCCCGGTCCCGGTACACTTTGGCGGCAATAAAACGTAATGGTGTCGGATTGACGGTTAGTATTGACGGAGACGACATCAGCCAGATCAAAGGCTCGACAACATACAGAACCGTGACGGCCATGAGCTTAACACGACTAGTTTGGCCATACGAATCTAGGCCACGACACATCTAGTTCTATTCTTGAACCGATAAACTCTCGAGACATATTCATTCCACAATGTATTAATGAAACTGTGTTCTTATGTACCAATATTAATGTAATAGGTTTTACGCAGTTTTATTGAGAAGTTTTGGCTTCACTAACAGGTTTCATGTTAAATCTAGAACTCATAAATGAAATAATTACATTTCGAGATGCTTGAATTGTTTGAAATTAGACATTCATTTATTTTGTAATTTATAAACTAAATTAAAATACGTGATATAGCATGTAGAAGGTAATGGCATTGAAAATATATGGTAAATGCTGCGTCTAATACCTAGACATATAATAATACCAGTCTCCCTGTCCCGCTCGGTCGGCTTGCGTCTATAATCGTATTTCCGTAGAATCCCTACAAGCGACGCTAAGCACTTACTGTCGGCTTTGCAGTTCGATGACCTGAACTCCAGAAGTCGTCCTGAAAAAGAAAACACCAACAGGAATTCAAAACAAAGCTTTATTTGTAGCACCTATACGAATGCCTGATGTATTTTTCAAGAGTGGTCCCGTGACTAATTTCCACGAAATTTTACGACTGATTCATTTGAGTCCTAACTTCAAAGCGAGGTTGCGCTGCGTCATATTTGTTCTACATTGTTCCTCGTAGAAATAAATTCAAATGTTTGGCTATTGTAAAATATCTGACAATCGATTACGACTAAAATCTATCTGGGTCACTTACAGGCAACAAAAGACCGCGGTACTTGTAGGGCAAATAACAATGGACAAACATGGTATTAAAGAAAAAAGTTAATGTATCAAGATAAGCTTTATGGTGGACAGTGGTTCGACCTCGGCCGTCAAATGGCACATCGATCGAACAAATGCGATGGCACATCACGCGCACCGTATGGCACGCGATTAACCCCCTACGTCGGGAATGGATCACCATAGTTTTATTAACTACTTAATGACCATGATGAAAGATACCGACAGTGTATATGATACACTTGTATACTTAACTATCTATAGAATTTTGAAATTAGAATTTAATTTCAAATCATGTGATGTTATCAAACGGTTGGTTGGGTTTTATTCTGTTGTTGGAATCAGCAAGGTCATCAGCTATACTCTCACAGCAGACGAACCGCGACACCATCCGGAGTGGCTGCGGATGTTATCCACTGTAATCACCGGTGAAATTTCACCACATAATAGCAAAAGTATTTACTGACCGGGAAAAGTTACGCTCTTCTAATCATTACTCGTTAATCACAGATTATGGTTACAATTGTAATATTGCCTATATCCCAAATATAACGTGTGATTTGGTTTTGGAATAACATGACCGGAAAAAGACAATTATTTTGTAGCATTGTAGCATTTGTAATGTGTTTAACTATCAGGTGAAACTTTATATTTTTTAAATTAATTATAAATTTGGACAATAGACATTTTTTAGCTATAAGTGAAGCGTAGGTACTACAAATATGTCGTTACTTGGCTGATATAGCTCTATCAAGGTACACGTTGGCGTCGCCATTTTCGTAATTATGCATCAGTCCGTGCCAAACTCTGAAATCCATTTATAGCCAGTGTTTGTCGTCTTCTTGTCAGAAGGTATGCCCCTGGATGCCTGTGCCCGGGCGGGCGACGAGCGACTAAAATAGACACTGCCTCGCGCGGCTTAACAATGCAATAAAAAGAAATTAACATCGACGTTGCCTGCGCTAAGTTGACTCTTGTATCATTTGGATGTGGTCCAATCTCTTCGTGATATATTTTAGTTATACTTCTCTCTAGCCACTTCCGTTAAGTGAGACTGAAAATAACGACATTAAGAACGTTAATGATGAAAGACTATTTTAATATTTTTACGGAACTCGGTATCTTCTTATTAATGACACCTCATTTGATGTCGGAGCAGCGGTGGTGTTGTTATAATACGTAACGTTTGTTGCAGGTTTCGGTTTAGCTGCGGCGGCGGCTGCGGGAGTCCGTGCTGGCTATCAAACAGTACTCCCTTCCCATTATGGGTGAGTTTTTAGTTTTCTATAACTGTGTATTATATTGTATCATGTATCAATGTTCAGTGGTTCAACACTTCAATATTTGCCAGCACTAGCGGCGCCGCATGCCGCTCTGAATATATCTCACGAGACAAAAATCAGACGTAGACTTTTCAACTAATTTACGCGCAGTGAGTGGGCCGTAGTATTTGCGTCTACAGGAAATTATCTTTTCGTAATGGAACAGTCACTTTATACTCGGTGTGTAAATACGTAGATAAACATTTAGGGAAAAAATCATCCTAAAATATAGTAACATTTCTTAGAACAAAAATATATTCGTATACCTACTTATAACATACTTGGACAGGTAATGTTTCAATAATTTTATAAGGTAATGTTTTAAAAGTTTAAAACATTGTTTCAATAAGGGAGGTCCCCGGGAAAGTACCAGTCATTTCAAAATGTACAAACTGTTACAGTAGGACTGATAGTGAAAACGGTACCGCTGACAGTTGCTGACTTTTGTCTCGGTAGATGAGGCGAGCGGTGTCTCCGGACGGCTAGCGGCGTGGCGGCCGGCGGACCACACCTAGACTAAATTATCAAACATTTTCACATAGGTATCTATGGCAAGCGTGAGCGTGAGAGTGGATTTTTTTTCGTTTTGGGTGTGAATTAGTCGATTGGGTTTTTAATGTTTACGTTTTACAAAGCTATACCGGAGCATGGGCGGCGCCGGTGGCAACATTAAGTGCGCGGGCGCCGCCCACTGCCATCACAATTTACGCATCGTTCTCGACACTCAATGTTTTCTTACTTTTTATGTTTTATGCCGTGTTCGTGTACGATTTTGTTGATTTGAATTGAGTTTTGTTGGTGGTGGATTTCGTTTAATACACTTACTAAGTATAACTGGAGTGGCCGGTAGCGGCGCTGCCGAGGGTGCGCTGTGTGTGCGTAGGTGTGAGCGCGCGCTCGGCCGCGCCGCTGCCGCAGCCACCGAACGTCTCCGCCGCCGCCGCCCTGCTGTCTAACAAACATATGCATCTGTACCGGTGCTGGCCGTGCCGACCGCTGGCCTCGTAGTCCTCGTGTCCTGGTTAATTACACATTGATGTGCGCACGATCGATCCTCTACCGGGGCCACCACGCCAACACAACTTTCTATATATTATTCACCAACACTCTTGTTTTAATGGTATATGTATAATCAAGTAAAAGCTTCTACGAATTAACGCTTCTATTTTCTTTTCCAATCAAATAAGTTACTGCGTCGGCCGAAGTGTATTTAAAGTAAAAGTATTTGGTATTAGGTCAAGTCGATTTTTAGTTTGAAAAATGATAGGATATTTGTATATGATTGATTTACTCACTAATGGCGTTGAAATGATGGTTACAGTTTACGCTAGTGTTGACCTGAAATCCAATGTAGGTATGTACATTATGACGTAGCCGACGACTTATAGCTATCAATTATTATAGAAATAGATTCATGTTTTTCATGTGTATCTACTATTTATTCAGCCTAGTTATTATTATTTATATTACTTATTGCATGTAATATATGTAAGTAATTATTCCTATATACTTTCTCTGAGAAACTTTGAAAGTGGCATCTAACATCTCTTAGCCGTCAGATTAGTAAGTTGTTGTGTTTGTATTTGAGTAGATGTGTCAGCTCAGCTTGTGTGAGTATAAGCCAGTTTTATAATGCTGTTTGTTTTTCACTTACTACTTTATTACATAGTCCTGAAAAATATTAACTTCTAAAAAAACAATACTTGCAACAGCAGACCATTGATAACTACGTCCTCGAAAGTAGATATAGCTAACTGTTCCAAAGCATTCATTTATTAAAGTAAATTAGACTCGTCGCCTTGTTCTTCAACGATATTTACTTAATAGTGAAGTAGGTACGAGGTTGATAGGTATTTGGTGGTACACCAAAGGATCACAGGTGGGCGTTTGAGACGGGCGGGGCGTTGAGGCGGGCGTGGAGCACGCATGCGTGTAGCTCTCGTAATCTCTTACCATGCTAATGCAGATGAAACAGAACAAACAGCAATCAGCCTATCTCTATCGGATGGCATAGTGATAGAAAAAGACGTATAATTGGATTGTCAAGTGGTACGGCGGTTAATGCTATGGAGGAAAAGGGCTCTTCTGCAACGCTGACATGGCTGGAAGCTAACTCGAGATGCTCTTATAAAACTTGACCGCCTTTGCAAGTAAATTAAGCTGAATCATCGAATTTTGTTGTACACCGTCTGCAAATAGATCGTATGTTAGGATGTTATTGATGGGCTTTATTTAAGAAGTTGTTTTTTTTTTGTAAAAACCTAATGGAGTTGGCAAACGTTAAAGAAATATGCTTTTATTATCAACTTGCTTTGAGGTTGATTTATTTCAGTAAAAAAATTCTTTCAAACTTTTATCCTACATCTCTGCGACACATGCGTCCAGCTATTTCGTAACAAGAATGAACTGCCATCGAAATGTTCATTTCCTTGACGGTTCCCGATATATAGCGAGAAGTATATCAAGTGGTCCGGATTTTTCGGTTCAGGCGTAACTACCACCCGTTTTATATTTTTTACATTTATATAACTTTTATGATAATGACGTACGGCGGCGGTTGCACTACGACGACTTAGGCAAACAGTCAAATACTTACATAATTATAACCATTTATCGATGTCTACTAACATAACAAAACTAGATGCTCGTGCCTGTCGAGGCTGCTGGGGCTAGGTATAAAGTGTGAAAGTTTTCATCAGTATTAATATTCCGATGTCATCTCACTCATAAGCGTCAGTGAGAGGACATCGCGGGTGAATTGTTAAGAATAGTCACAATTCCAGTATTGCCTGAAATTGTGACGTCAGGTATTGAGAAGGATATTGTAAATGAAATTGTTATATACTTGCAGGTTGTCACCTGGATATGTATACGGAACGCCAAGTTACATGGGCGCCATGAGTGGGGTGGGGGCTGGCGTTGGCACGGGTGCGGGTGGACTAGTGCAACTACCGCAACTGCAGCACGCTGCTGCAGTAGCTGCCGCTAATCATCTGTATGAGTACCAGGCAGCGGCAGCACAGGGAGCAGCTGCCTATCAGCAGCAATACGCAGCTGCAGGATTTGATCCTTACGCTACGGCCGCTGGTAATTTTTTTACATTATTACTGTTATAAATTCAATGGTTTTATTTATTTTTCTCTTAAATATATCTGATGTGATTTTTTTTTCAGCAGCGGCAGCAGCCGCCAGCGGTGCAGGCTATATGTCTCAATATTATGCTTTACCTGGCGGAGGAGTTCAGGGACCATTGCTGCCTCCACTTTCATACCCTCCGCAACTTCAAGAGGCTCGGATGCAATAGACATGACTTTTTACTAGTTCCCGGACCCATTACTGATGACACAAGCCCAGACTGGTGAAATTTTAGATCTGAGTTTTAACGAAAGAATGACTTATCATTAGTACATCTGTAAATAGAAAGTAGCACCAGTAATGAAGCCGCGGACTACAAACACGCGTAAATAGGTCTGAATATAAAGTGAACAGATAATGACACAGCTGTGGCAGCAACGTTCGGCGACTTTTGTCGAACAGTAGATAAATGCACGTACCATGCCATTAGAAAAAAAAAACACTTATAGGAGACAAGCCAAATATTTAGACAAACGTCTATAATCTAGTTGAATCCGAAAACCAAAAAGTTTAAGAATGACCAAAGGCTATGAGCTTTTTACTTAGAGATAAGATCTGGGTAGTTTTACCAGTTGAAGACGATAATGAAACTATATATTTATATAGGTAAAAAAAGTACTTCGTACGTAAAATTATAAAAATCACCCATACGATATGGCTATGTTGAAAAATGTATTCTTGCCTCATTCATAACTTCCTAACATCACATATTTTTATACTTTATAGATTAGTTAGATATATTTTCATAGTATCGTTCATATTCGCATATCTGTATTATACTAAATGCAAGTTAATTTTAAAACAGCTGTTTTATGACAATAAATAAGTCAAGGGTAACATTGAACAATGAAGGTTTTATTTGGCGTACATTACTTGCGCTTTTAAAATAACAGTGGTAGCTGTAAAACGTTATCCTTCAGAACTTTTATGAAATAGAAGTGTACATTTGAGATAAGAAAATAACCAATGAAAGGAGTATTAAAACGAAGTATTTTTGTTCATAATTAATTTCTTTTCAAAGAACATTTATGCTCTTAATTAAGGTACAATACAGTACACAAGGTTTATAAAGGTAGCTGTAGCTATATATTATATAGGTACCAACCATTTGCTGTTTACGACATAATTCATCCTCTTTATATAAATAAATAAAGAACCCATAAACTACCAGACAGCTATTTTCAGATGTACTTCCTATTCATAATTTTAACTTAAGGTACCTTTTTTATTTAATCAAGATGTTAAATGAGAACGCTTTTCTTGTTATATTACTGTCGGAAAACCGAACCAATGAAACAAAAGCTTAAAAGCATTCTTGGTTGAATTTAACTCAAGTTATAGATGTCGACCTCTTTTGAAATAAAGTACTTATTTTGTTTTGAACTAGCGTCATTATCAAAGATAGTATCTTACCACCATTTAACAGTAATACCTCCCATTGTTTCTACTTACGAGTACATACGTACAGAATAAACAAATCTGCCTTCTGAATATATAAGAATCATTAAGTATCTTTCATACGCCATTTTCTTAAACTTGTGAAAATTTATGTGATCGAGGTGTGTTTAGCTACTCTTTTCACTGACTGTTCTTCTTGTTAATGTGAAATTTACCATGGTGGATGTTTAATCATGTGCACATATGCCACAACCTATTTCGGAATAATATTTTCACTGTACGCTGTAGTGTTACTATTAAAAAAATCAAAAGGGCCCAGACGTGGAATCCGTTTATCTGCGGACGGACTACCTTTTACTATTGTTTCTACTACTTAATACGAATGTTTGTAGGTACTTATAACATAATAAGGAGTAACGTTATAAAGCTGCATGTATACATCTTATTTTGCAATGACTAATAGAGACGTACATAAACGCAAGACTTTGTCGTTTAGCTTATAAATAAAAGCTACTATTAATATAATAAATTCGCTTTGGTTGTAAGACGCCATAGATAATTCTTAGGTCTCCTACGTGTCCATGTTGCTCAATAAGTTCTTAAATGGACTTCGTTTAGCTTAAGATTGAAGGAGAGCAATAAAGGGTTAAGTAATTTATGTAAATTTAAGTAATGTACTTATTTCTCAGTGAAAATACAACAATATATTTTGTACACTACCTATACGCCCTTATAATGTTAATTAATATTATAATTTGTTCTCCAAAGCGGTATAGGGTACTTAATAGTTAGGATAATTCAATTACTAGTCCATGTAATTTTAATGTAATGAATTATAGAAGGTCGCTGGCCGTCCTATTCGTATTTATAGGAAATAACAGATTCGCAGTAATTCATAATGAAGAATTAATTTAAATTAGGATGTGAGTAACACTTGGCTGTAGTTTCGACACGTCAGACTTGGATAGTGTGACATGACGGGCTATATTATTTGGCAGCAGTCTCTCTGACATGTACGGAAATTAAATTTATCTATATCAGCGAAGGATGGGATATTGGCTGGCGACATAGTACAAGTTAGAGGCATAGACCGAGTAGATATCACTGAAATGTAGTCTGTAAGCTTAATTTTAATTGTAATATGCTGTTATTCGTAATTTATTTTGTTGATATTTGTAAATCTACATGTTGATAACTATTTATTATGTGGAAGATAAATAAAAATTGTTAAATATTTACTGACCGAATCGAATCTATTACCACGTCACGATTTCGGTGCCACAGATAAAAAAATCAGATTCGGTCTAATATATTAAAATATATACATTCATTATACTTATTCTTAATATAAGTAGGATAATATAATAGATGCATACCAAACGGAACATAGTACCATGTTAGCCATAGTCGTGGCCATCTTGCCTTATATATATATATATATATAAATACAAATAAAACTTAGTTATTTTATAATTAAAAAATATATACACATATCATCAAATGTATAAAATATTCGGGTTGAGCATTATCTATGCTCCGAACAGTCCATAATAGTGCATTTCATTGTCAGTAATTTTAAGCACAATTACTTTATATATATATAGGTACTATGTACTACATAACTATATATAAACGCAAATTCATAATAAATAATAAAATACTTAATAACTGTTATAATTAATTTAAAATTATACTATCGTACTTAATTTAGGATATTTTAAGATGGAAAATAAATTTTTAAGGTACACTGGTTGTTTTTTTTCTCCTCGATACCTTACTATACCTACACATTTCAATACACAAAATACAATACACATTTCTATTAATGCATATACTTTCACGAACTTTTTGCCAACTACAATTTGGTTTTACACACGTAATAGGGTAACACGTAATAAAATAACAAACCTATTACTGTCAATAGGGCACCGAGTTTATTTTGTTGAAAGACAACTCGCGCACTAGGAATATATCCTGTGTGGACTTTACAAACATTCATGAAACGAACACAAAGAACACCCAGAATCGGAACTATAATTTGTGGATCACACAATGTCCTATATGGGGATCGAACCCACATGACCTCACATGGGACTACGAGCACTACGCCAACCGTGCAGTTAAAATTTAATTAGGAAAGTTTTGGGTATCTATATTAAATGGAAAAGTATGTAAGGAAAGGATTATATCCCTGTCTTTCTATTGACTTTTATTCTTAGACCATAGTTTATACAGATGAACTGGTGTGCGTTACCCCAGCAAAATAATGTCGAAAATGGTCATTTAAACGTTATAGATAATTAGTTGCTCCCCTTCTGTAATTGTTAGGCACATTTTTAAATTTGTTTCACTTAAACTTTTTTAGTTATTTCAAAAAAACATTTCCTGCTGGGGTAACGTTTGAAACGTTACCGCAGCCAGACATTTTCTTTTTTAATTGTAATCTTGAAATAAATTTTAGCTACATAATTAGTTATCCGGACTAGGTAAATGTTACAACTTATTTGGTATTTGTATTTTCTTCGGCTGCGAAGTTATTCGAAATCCTGCTGGAGTAACGTTTGTGGGTTTGCTGGATCTCTGAAACGGGTAAGCGGATTGTAACCATCTTTTGTACATAACTTCTTAAGGATTAGTTTTAATTTGTTCGACAATAAAATAACAAAAATAATGGACCGTTTAAAAATTATTTAGGTAAGTATGAAAACACTTCAATACGTCCTAGCACTTTAAATAAGACCTCTGAAGACTTACTTCAAACGTTATTCTATTGCTTGTAGCTACCTTCAAATGTATACGAATTTTCGTAAAAATACTGTAAGAGACTAAAAAGTTATGATGAAATGTAGCTCTCCACGTTCACGATCACAATGTGTGCGGCCTTTTTTGGCCACCGATAAACCTGTGTGTGGATATATAAACTGAATGTTATGCCAATAATTAGTTGTTTAGTTCAGTTGTCTACCTGTAGAATTTCAGCGTCGTACATATAATAATTTACGAGATAATTAAATAAAAGTCATTAGAAGGTGCAAGACCGTGGTAACCCGACCATGTTTAGGTGGTTACAAAAAAGGGATCACCCAGTACATTGTGCTGGCTTTTAAAATATGTAGGATATTATTTGCAAGTTTACTACGGATATGTACATAAGTGTTACAAAAAACTACGTTTTTAAATAATTTTTATTTAGGATTGTTTATTGCATAATTAGTAATTAGCCGGGAGATTAGGTATTGTTTTGAATGCTTTTGTTTTCTCGTAATTTTAAGGTGAATTGTTTATAGTTGTTCATAGAATTGGTCCCTGTGTAGTATTTGTTAATTGAAGTTTAATTTTAGGGTAGGGATAGGTAATTTAAGTTTTGAAGAGTGTAACGTATGCGTTGTAAATAGGTATTTTGAGAATAGATGGGGATTTTTTAAGTGATGAATCGACTTAGGCTAGCATATCGCGAACAAACTCTGTATTGCATTATTTCTGTAATAATGTTAGAGAAAATAAAATATTTGATCACAAAATCGCGGTGAGTTAAATTATAATAAAATAAATTATTTATGTAAAATTAGTAATAAGTGATATACCTACCTACAAGTTATGATCGTTTTTAATTTGTTCACCCTGAACGAAATTTCAATATAAGCATTAGTAATTAATATCCTAAGACAAGAATTGACAATTACTTAAATTGAATCGAATTAGCATTAATGCCCATTATTAGTAATTAGGTACACACATATTGAAGAACTCTCAAGAATACGATAAATATTTGCAAAAATAGAAAGCGGAAGCGCTCACGCACTTTACAAGACGTATATTATCTGCCTAAGGTTCAAGTTTAGTGTACTAGATGCAAATTGCAAACAATGAAGTATCCCTTCGCCCCTCCCCTCCCGCGTTCTAGCGAAGGATGTTTTATCGGCGATTCTTGATTGACAAATATTATCTGACCAATAATTTTATCTATAAAAATGTATCACTTTCACTCGATAAATTAAATTACCGTTATTATATCAAAATATCATTCAACAACTGTTCGTTTTTAACAGAAATCAACAGTCACGGGCTCAACGCTTAGCGGTAGGTACATAGGTATAGATAATTCTCGGTTCTCGGTATAGACCACAGAACAATATTACCTACTCTTACGAGGTATACCACTGTTGGGCGATGCAATGTTGATGCATTCTAATTTACAACTGTATTTTTCTACTATTCGGTCTATTTTAACTTATTGTAGATGACTTGTTGCTTTAAATATTTTGATGCATTCAAGTCTAAGCTATATACACCTCAAAATAAAATACAATTACTTTAGTGTCATTTCTTTACAAAAAAAAAATCAAAGAAATGAGACGATTTCTTATTGGTTTAAATTTTCGATTTATTGCAGTCAGGTGAATCGTTCATACATGTATTGTAGATACATGTTTATTTCTAATTTTAGCGGACCAGTGCAGATTTTCTGTTGATTGTAGCTCCGGTAGTTAAAAAGACTAAAGAAATTTTAAGTAAAGAAACTAGTGCTTAAGATCAATTAGGAAAAAAAGAACAAAATAAATAATAGGTAATAATAATCAATAAATATTGAATGTATTTAACACTGCACGCAACTGTACCGAAATCGTAAGGTGTATTACACTAAACATTTTAAAAGACAGCGCAATGTACTGGGTGATCGCTTTTTTGTAACCACCTAAACATGGTCGGATTACCACGGACTTGCACCTTCTAATGACTTTTATTTAAGTATCTCGTAAATTATTATATGTACGACGCTGAAATTCTACAGGTAGACAACTGAACTAAACAACTAATTATTGGCATAACATTCAGTTTATATATCCACACACAGGTTTATCGGTGGCCAAAAAAGGCCGCACACATTGTGATCGTGAACGTGGAGAGCTACATTTCATCATAACTTTTTAGTCTCTTACAGTATTTTTACGAAAATTCGTATACATTTGAAGGTAGTTACAAGCAATAGAATAACGTTTGAAGTACATAAGTCTTCAGAGGTCTTATTTAAAGTGCTAGGACGTATTGAAGTGTTTTCATACTTACCTAAATAATTTTTAAACGGTCCATTATTTTTGTTATTTTATTGTCGAACAAATTAAAACTAATCCTTAAGAAGTTATGTACAAAAGATGGTTACAATCCGCTTACCCGTTTCAGAGATCCAGCAAACCCACAAACGTTACTCCAGCAGGATCTCGAATAACTTCGCAACCGAAGAAAATACAAATACCAAATAAGTTGTAACATTTACCTAGTCCGGATAACTAATTATGTAGCTAAAATTTATTTCAATATTACAATTAAAAAAGAAAATGTCTAGCTGCGGTAACGTTTCAAACGTTACCCCAGCAGGAAATGTTTTTTTGAAATAACTAAAAAAGTTTAAGTGTAACAAATTTAAAAATGTGCCTAACAATTACAGAAGGGGAGCAACTAATTATCTATAACGTTTAAATGACCATTTTCGACATTATTTTGCTGGGGTAACGCACACGATGAACTGGAGAGTATTATGCTCGAGCAGTTTACCTTTACCTTTATGCTGTTGAGTTTGCAAACCTAGCGTTAGTAGCTGACACAGAGGGACAGCGGAACGGAACGGACAAGGAACTTAGTCGGCTACCAGTTGTAACACTATTGGCTTCGACGTTTTCGTAGCTTTGACAGCATTTCCAGAAATATCTGGTAGATGTAATTGATCTATGATATGTATATATTTAGAAATATACATATAAGTATGTTTATCAGCAGCCTGGTTAGTATTGTACGGACTCTGCCTAGTTAGAGATCACACTGCCATGTGTGAGATGTCTGGGGTTATTATATTACTAGCTGACCCGCGCAACTTCGTCTGCGTCTCTCAATAGTAATAAATTTTCTCCGTTTTTGAAACATTCTTCATTTTTGCTCCGCTCCTATTGGTCTTAGCGTGATGATATATAGCCTATAGCCTTCCTCGATAAATGGGCTATCTAACACTGAAAGAATTTTTCAAATCGGACCAGAAGTTCCTGAGATTAGCGCGTTCAAACAAACAAACAAACTCTTCAGCTTTATAATATTAGTATAGATTATATCTATCGAGTGTAAGAGTACCTCCAGCATAGTAAATAATTATTTAAATCTGAAAAAAGTATGTAAACTATTTACAGCGAAAGAATCTATGTCGTCAAAGCTTTGGCAACTATCCAGTAACAACTTTACGATCTCACGAATTTACTGGACAGAAATATATACATTATATTAAATTAGTAATTAAGTGTAAAAAGGGTTTTTATACATTCTTTTTTTTCGTTATAAAAAAAAACAACCCCCGCACTAGGAATATAAACCCTGGGACTTGACAAACACACAAATCGGACACAAAGAACAACCAGACTCAGGACAACAACTTGTGGTTTACACAAAGTTTTGTCCCATGTGGGGATCGAACCCACAAGACTCAGCACAGTAGGAAGCGGCGAGGTGACCGCTTAAAAAACTCCGCCATCCGTGCAGTAAAAACTTGCAATTTTTTTACTAGTAAGTATTAAATAATAATATTTAAATGATAGGCAATAATTATAGTGTGTAGTGTATATAATATATTGTCAATTGGAAAAAGTATAGTAAAAAAAAGATTACAAAATATTTGCCGTTTTAAAGCGTGTGACTTGTGGTAACGCTATAAAACAACAAGTTTATCACACTCCGCGCACTTCCAAATGGTTCTGGTCTTCTTCGGGTACATCCAGCAATAGGTTCATCATCTGCGAATGACCAGCAAGATGGAACTTGTGGAGATTGTGTATAGTATATGCACTAAAGCGTCTCAATGCAAATATCGTTATGTCTTAGATCCTGAGAATATGAAGAGTTTTGCCACGATTCTCACCGATCTACGGTTATAGGGAGAATAAGGAGAATAAGGTACCTATCTGCACACAACTAACGCAGAACAAACATTATTTTTAACCTCGGGTTCAATACCAAAAGTACTACTTCAATGACTGTATTATAGTCAAGGTCAGTTACGTCAAAAGCCGGTCCTCTTGTACTCGCGAATTCCTCTCGTTGTCCATCAAACGTAGACCTGGTCTTATTTCAAACGAAACTAACTCGGCTCGGCCATTGGCGTAACCCTCCCTCCGTAATACTTCCGCTGGCGTTGTGTCAAGTTAGGTACGAGAAAAGAGTCATCGTCAATGTTGAAGTCGTCATCACTGTCAGAATGTTCAGTCAGTCCTGACCCGCCATCCAGAAGATTCCCGAAGTTCTCGTCGTGAACACCTAGAATCAAAAGAAATTGAAATGAAAACAATTGATTCGAGTAATTTGTTATTGTTTTGTCTCATTTATTATCCGACTGCTAAGAAGGGGTAATGTTTTTCGCGTCTATCTTGTATGTTTGTTTGTAAATTTCTTTATTACCTCGTATTTGCAAAATTGCTGAACAGATTTCGAAAGTTAAGGTATTGTTTTATCTGTCTCAAAACCCTAGGGTCTTTAGATGGCTTCTTGAAATAAAAAAACGAAATGGTGGATTTTAAACAAAATAGTAATAAGAAAAAAAATAAGCAGACCTATACAGTAGGGTATCAAAATCAAGAAAATGCAAAACGGAATTAGAAATATATAACTTATGTTTGAATTAAATAAGGAATTATAAATTGGTTTAATTACTTTTGGTTATATTACTTTTAAATTGTCCTTTTGCAGTCGGGTATTTAATTTATAACATTACTTTTTTTCTTATACTTTTTTTCAGTTTATTTTATTTTCATGTTTTTAGTACTTAAGTCCATTATTGCATTGGGGTAAACCTGGTGAGGTTGTTAAAGAATGTATATACATACATATATAAATAAATGATTATTGAATTGTCATTCATCACTGTATAATGTTTTCTGTATAACAGTAATTCATAATTACCTAATTTGTAGGTGCCTAAAACACGTGGCGAGGAAGATGTAAAGACCACGACTACTGTAGCAATGTCTGAAAAGAAAAATAGAATAGTAAAGCGATGGACTACTACTCTTAATTCAGAAGAGCGGTTAGGGTATCTTTTAATTGGTCTCAACATAATATGCGTCAGGTTTGTCGGCATCCAATTCTAGCCAAATTTTGCAAGGTTAAATTCTGTAAAGAACAAGTATGTAATAATATAACAAACATTAAACAGCAAAGTATTGATTTCATGAAAAAAACATCTTAGTGTCATCGTGTTGGTAAGTTGGATAGTCAACCTTGACGTTCTGAAGACAGCCTTCTGAATAATAAATAAACTAATAATCTCTACACTTACACGTTCTTACAAACAGATTAGTGAGAAAAATCTTAAGCTTGGAGATAAACTGACTTGCAGTTTGTGTGTTAGACTGAAGAAATATCGCAAGGTTTAGATATCCGTGATACCAAAAAAATAATACTCAAGGACATTTTACATTGTTTGTCGTTAGCGCGGTGGTGAGTCTGGTTGAAGCATTCGCTCCAGGCGAGCTTCTCGCTTCCGGGCGACAAGTTCCTAGCGATAGTTCTTCGGCAAAGGGGCCAACCGGCGTTGTGTTGCCTGCCTTTCTACCCTATTTTTTTTTCCAAACTGTCTTCCAAATAGCAGTCACACTGCACACTGCAAAAAAAAGATATTTTTCTTAATAAAGTTGAATATGACACGTAGCTTGAATTTGTTACGTATGATAAAAGACACGTACGCTTTTTCATTGTTCATAAAGAATATCTCCATGAGAAAAGTGCGTATTTCTATTGATAACTGACCTCGACGTTTAAAGGGCTGTATCAAAGCTTCAAAATTTAATTGGATTTGTTGTCATTCAAAATGAGCTTCATAGATCTCAATCATCTCAGCAGGCTGTTAATGATGATTACGAGATGCAATATAATAGTATTAAAAAATATTAGGCAAACAGTAGGCACTGCTGGATATAGGCCTCTCCTTAGAAAGGTGGTTTTGGTGGTTGGTGGTGGTTTTTCGAGATTTCTTTCTCCTATTATATAATTTATATTTTTTGTAGCGTGCGTAGTTCATAATAGTTTAGTAAATGAGAGTTAAACATTAGAAATAACTTATTTACATAAATATATTGCTACCTTTATTAGATTTACATAGAAGTCCAAAAGTATACACAATACATACTCGCTATAATTATACACATACATAAATTAAATATTATATATATACACAGTCGGGTATAATAGCATTGAGACTGTTCTGCCAATTCATACCGAAAAATTTCCAATGGTGAGTTGAGTTAAGATAAAAGGGAAGTCAGTGCTCGCATACTGCGGTGCCGACGAATTGGTAGCCGTTGCAGCTGGGACGTAAAGCAGATGGTCATACTTGTGAAGATTAAAACCGAACTTATAAAAACAGGAATCCTAATAATTATTGGTTGTAGTACGGGTACGATACGATGGTAAACTTTGGGATTTCATAAAATGTTCATATCGTAAAATATCAGAATGCAGTTTAGCAATTAACATAATAATAACCTCACACATCATGGCTATAGTAGCTAGTTTGGAATTAGAAGCTGTGTGTAAGCACACAGCGTCTAATTCCAAACTAGCTACTATAGCCAGAGCTTGTACTGTGATAACCAAACTGCTGATGACTGAATACACTTATAAATGAAAACCGAGAAATACATTTTATACTTGGGTAGGTAGATAAAAAAAACGTAGGTAGGTACTAAGTTTTTACTAGAAATTTACCTGACCAAATTAACTAAAGTTGAAGATCACAAGAATAATTTTTTTGGTGGCAGCTTAGCAATTAACATAATAACCTCACACATCTAACACACGGACGTCTAATTCCTAACTAGCTACTCTAGCCAGAGCTTCTACTCTGATAACCAGACTGCTGATGAACACTTATAAATTTATAAATACTTACATAGATAAAAATTACACCCAGACAAAGAACAAATGATCGTGCTGATGGAACAATATTCACTTCCCCACCCACGACTTCCGGCTTAGCAGTCAGGATGACTAGCCACTAGACCAAAAGGCCTATCTTAATTGATTTCAAATGTGTAGATTTTCACATCACATCACATTCCATCACTTCTACATAAGAGAAAATGTATTTAGGTAGGTAGATAAAAAATAAAACGTAGGTAGGTACTAAGTTCCTACTAGAAATTTTCCTGTGTAAATTTTTTGGTGGATATACATGTTGAAATAAGGGGCAATGAATGTAATTCAAGAACAACTAAGTACCTACAACAAATAAATCTAAAAGTCCAAAAACGCTTTATATCGCAAAAGTCAAGAAACTCTTAAGATAACTTTTCGCCTGATACAAGTATTACAGTCGAGCGTTTCTTGAGTTTCGGTCTGTAATTCAGCCCCAAGTTATATCTGAATTGAAAATAATCTCTTTTTATGTGTCACCAATACAATTATAAATAAAACTAAACTAAACGAAGCTCTGTACCTAATAATTGTATTGCCTATGAGATAAAACAATGTTAGATACAAGTAAAAGCAAATAAATACTCACATTAACTGTTACTCGTTTGAATCAATCAAACTCAAGATATAATGCTGTTACAGTATTTTCAACAATTGGAGGTAGTACTAATTTAAATCTTTAAGCCGGGTGCTATAACTTCTTCACAGTGCAAAGTTTAGAAGGTAGAAGAGGGCGATCTACCAGCGCTCAGCCTTTTTATAGTCTTGGCCAAGATGGCGTACCAGACGCAATGCTGCCAACACTATAAAGTGTATTTATAAATGAATAAAAACACATTTCTAAAATATAAATATATATATAAGGAGAGGCTTACATTCAGCAGTGGACTATTAAAGGCTGTTGATTGATCCTACAGATATATGATTATGATTGATTTTTTAAAAATTAAGATGAATATAAGTTGCGTTAAAAGAATATTTTGCTCCATTCCTACTTAGAAATAAACGCATTTATGGCGTTCTACTTTTCTACCGACAATGACGTGTCTCTTCTTGAAAAAAAATCGGTTTTTGTCCAAAATTGCAGTTTCTCAAATTTTATTTCGACAAGATTTTTTTGGACCATACAGAGATTATAATAATACTAAAATTCCGTTTTTTTTTTTTTGCTTTTTACAAAATCATTGTGACATAGTATTCGAAATGTGTGACAGAGGTGTTTTACATACAAATAAAATGTGTCTCTTTGCGCCGCCTAATCTTACAAAATGATCTCGCTTAAAAAAATCATATGGAATCCTTTAATATAAAATTATTTATTGAACTTCTGAAATATTATCATTACATTGATTAGAATATAATAAACGTAAAGGTTCATATTATTAAACAAAAAAATATTTTATCGTTGGGTCCGGCTATGTATGTTTTTTCTTGCTATCTTCCGTCACGCATTTAGCTTCTTAGCTGTTTCACCTTCAACACTAAGCAACAGTACGGTTTCCTCTTCCCCCTTGGCCTCACGCCTTGGGGCCTCACCCGGGAGCGAGCCGAGTTAGTCGCCTGCAGGAAGTGAACAGAGATGCGTGTGTTTATTCGACGACCGCTCTGTCACGTAAGTTACTACTTTGAAATTTTATTGTAATTAATATTTATATATGTAATATTATTATTTCCCAGCAAATCTGTCATATTCACCCACTTTTACGAACAATTTGTAATTTTGTGAACGCTAAAATCCTCGAACACTATTATTTTACACTTCTGTCACGAGGCACCTCTGTCACAAATAAACTGTGACGGAGTGGCATAACTCGTGACGAAGTGGTAATTTTTGTCTTGAACTTTGCATTGATTGATTTTTACAATAGCTAATTAATATTTTTTGTGTTCGTGTATGTTTTTGTGTTTTACATTATCGATTATTTTATTAATTTAAGGTATTATTATCGGGGTAATTAAAAATTGCGTTATCTGCGGCGGAAAGGCAGCGACGTTGTCGTGAAAAAAGGAAACAAGACCCCGAAAAAGTTGCAGAAGTGAAACGAAAAGACTTAGAAAGATATCATACTCGCAAAAAGCTAGTCAAAGATATGACACCAAGAGATCACAGACAAATGAAAAGAAAATGGCAAGTTAGAAACAAGAAGAGAAGAGAACAACAGAAAGCTTTGCAGAACGTTCTAATGAATGCTCCGGCTTCCACAACTGTTCCTTCAAGCCCCAGGTTACTTACTTTAAGTCCTAGATCTCGTTCACTAACTTCAATCTCATCCACTGCTAGAGCAAGGGGTAGAAAAAAAGTTAGACGAGACAGATCGAAAATTTATAGGCAAAATATGAAACTCCAAGACAATGTAAAAGAATTACAGAAAAAAATACGAAAATACAAGAAAAGACTTCAACGTCGAAAAAATAAAAAAGATAACTTATTACATAATATGACCAAAACTATAAAAAAAATGAAGATAAAATTAAAGGCGCCGAAGAAGAAGAAAAAAATAGTATCTTGACAAATGCCATTAAGGAACATTACAAATTACTGAACATGAGATGGAAGTTAACGATAGCCCAACCTCAGATTTAAAAGAACCACTGGCTGATATAACCAACATAATTAGAGCTCCTACAAAGAGATTTTATGAGACTGTTTATACTTCTACTTCAGAAGATGAAGATGATCAGCCTCTTGTTAATCAGAAAAAAAATGTGCATATAAAACCGGGTACTTCATACGATCTGTCTGTTGACAACATTCACCCATTATTAATAAAAAATGGTACACATATGTTAGTAAAAGTACCCAGTAAAAACAAAGTCGAGTACACCTACTTAGGAGTAGCAAAAAGTTGTGTGGATGAAAAAGGAGATGTTCAGGTAATGTTTTATAAAACTGTTGATGACACTGGAAAAATATTTAAATTAGTAAAATCAGATCTATCAGATGTGATGTTTGAAAACTTGATAAAAATAATTCCAAGTCCTAAAGAAGTCAAAAGAGGAAAGCGTGTTTATTACGAATTTGATAAACCAATAGAAGTATTTGAAAAGTAGAATAAGAGAAAAGAGAAAATTAGTCTGATTTTACGTGTACCAAAGAATGGTTCTACCAAGATATAATATATTATGTAGCATTATAAGAGAAGCATTATGTTTTGTTATCGTTTTAAAACATTAAAAATGTGTGATGATGTGATGTTTGAAAACTTGATAAAAATAATTCCAAGTCCTAAAGAAGTCAAACGAGGAAAGCGTGTTTATTACGAATTTGATAAATCAATAGAAGTATTTGAAAAGTAGAATAAGAGAAAAGAGAAAATTAGTCTGATTTTACGTGTACCAAAGAATGGTTCTACCAAGATATAATATATTATGTAGCATTATAAGAGAAGCATTATGTTTTGTTATCGTTTTAAAACATTAAAAATGTTAAAAAATTAAGTTCAAATGTTGGCTTATTAATATCTACCACTCTGTCACAATTTTGTCCCTCTTGTAACTAAACGTCAATGTAGCATATGATTCTATTTATTGAAAACTATACTAAAAAAACGTATTATATTATTACATATTGACCATATAAGGTATTAACAGAATTTCGACTATGTTTATTTCAATTATTTGCAAAATATTTCAAAGTTTGTTATCTTAACGAGCAAAAATGTGACAGAGTGGTATTAAATGTTATTTTTATATATTTGTAATAAAAATTCTTATAAATCGAGTTACATAATAATAAATGCTTGTATTCCAGTTAAGCAAAGTGAAAGAAAAACTGAAAATTTGATTTTACATAATAACTAATATTTTTTTTGTTTTTGTGACTGAGGTGTTTATTTTTTCTTACTATTCCGATAAAACTTAAAATAAATAAAAGATATAAAATAAAACTTCGATGCATTATACATTTCTGAAATCTTCGATAACTGGACAATGATTTAAAAATACATTTTATGAAAGAAATACACTTTTATTTTTTTTTAAATTAAAAAATTTATCACTCAGATTGTCGGTAGAAAAGTAGAACGCCCCATTTGTATTTTGATGTGCAGTGGTCAATTAGGGCGGCAACTTATATTCATCTTAATTTAAAAAAAATCAATCATAATCATATATCTGTAGGATCAATCAACAGCCTTTAATAGTCCACTGTTGAATGTAAGCCTCTCCTTAAAGAGGAGGTTTTATCTACTATATTACACTGGCCAAACAGGTTCGTATAGGGTTTGTTTCAAGTTGTCCTTCTCTTTGCAGTTCTGTTGTCCTTCGTAATTTGCTCCCTTAGTCAGCTCTTACAACACCCACGGGATGAATAGCTGTGCTAAGTAGCGAAAATTGCGAAAGATATGTTTTATTATATATATAATATGTGTACAACAAAACTAACAGGATAAGTTACTTGTGGGAGAACTATGTCTCGGCACATATGAGCAGGGCTCGACCGGAGTGATACCACGACCTCACAGGAAACTTTCGTTACTTTTTACTCGTGACTCTTAAGTTGCAGGTGTCACCTAACATCATTCGGCACGCCTGCTCGCCTGCCACATTCACCATAAAAGAAGATTACACTGGACGGAGGTGAAGTGAGCCAGAGCCGGTGTCCACCAGTTACGAACGCTGAGTTTCCGCGCGGCCGTAAGTTTCGTTCAATTTTGGTTGAAACCGAAATCAGAACCGAAACTTGAGTTCTTAGCCGAAGCTGGCTGAAACCGAAACTAACCTTCGGTCGGTCACTATTTAAAAGATGGCAACCCAGTACTAAATGACAACTGTCTGTCTGTCTATAATGACATTATTTAGACAACATAAACAAAACACTTAAATGGGAATTAGAGATTAAAAACACAGTTTAGAATTGCACAGCCTGTAAAAGGTTAATTTTCACTATAGATTTGAATTATAAAATTGGCGATAAGAATGGCTGGACATGGCCAACAGTTTCCTGGAAACTTTCAGGCTAACGCTGCTGGCATGAGAGCTGGATTCGGCGGGGGCCCTTTGGGAGCGCAAATGCAAACTATGCCTAATCAGCTAGCAGGTGATATTATTGTTTATATTTAAATAAAATGTATTTGTATTTAATTTGTGGTTAAAATGCATTGATATTTTTTTAACTACCAATGAATTTACACTACATGTTATGAATATTTCGTCATAAGACTCACCTAAACGTTAAAGGAATATTTTGCTCCATTCCTACTTAGAAATAAACGCATTTGTATTTTGATGTGCAGTGGTCAATTAGGGCGGCAACTTATATTCATCTTAATTTTTGAAAAATCAATCATAATCATATATCTGTAGGATCAATCAACAGCCTTTAATAGTCCACTGTTGAATGTAAGCTTCTCCTTAAAGAGGAGGTTTTTTCTACTACATTACACTGGCCAAACAGGTTCGTATAGGGTTTGTTTCAAGTTTTCCTTCTCTTTGCAGTTCTGTTGTCCTTCGTAATTTGCTCCCTTAGTCAGCTCTTACAACACCCACGGGATGAATAGCTGTGCTAAGTAGCGAAAATTGCGAAAGATATGTTTTGTTTTATTCGAAACTTTGTATCCCCTGTTAAATAAATGTAAGTTTCGTAAAAACAAATAGGTTCATTTGCAAAATACAATCTACAAAGAATAGTACAATCACTGGCTTCATCATAAACTTCATCTGTTTCATAAATCTCAAAACCACAGGGAATATTTAATTTAACAAATAAAACATAGGTATATAGTAAATCCAGCCAGCCTAGTCAGTGCCTTTAATATGATTGATTAAATAATACAAGTTGTTATTCAACATCATTGTAAATTTACCCTCAAAATACTATTTTATTATTATGATTATATTCATGTGAAAAACACAGTGAAATACATGTAAAAAACTTAAAATTGGGAAAGATTCAACTGAACGTCAGCAAGGAAGGTTTTTATATTATATTAAGAGAGATAGAGGAGTTTGAAAAATACATGTCATTTTTAACGCAAGTGGTAACATTGGATATTTTTAATCCATCGCCACATGGATGTATGAGACACACAGATGATAGGTCATATTTTGTTGAAAATAACTAATGAAACAAAAAGATAGAATGCCGTGTGTAAAATTTAGGAAGTTATTACTATTTGATCTTTATTATTTTGATCAAATTTAAATCTATTTACTATTTCTATTATTATAATAAATAATAGTAAGTAATTTCTTAGAAGAGACTGAAAATCAAAAACATTAACTCTATTCGGTACTATTATAGCAATATAAACCATTAAATGGTCAATGAAGGTATAACAATATGGAAGTCTAAAACCGTTTACTATACAAAAAAAGTGAAATAGCTGCAGCACTAAAGATGAAGTCAAATTATGTAGCAGTTCTTTACATGTAGAGGAAACCGTTTTGCAACAATTATTTTGACACTGAATTTTAATTTATTCATTTTGTCTCATCTGAAAGAGTTTAAAAGACTCATCACTTTGTAGGTGAGGCATTTGTAACCCATTGAGTGACTTACGTTTGTAGGCCATTTTTATTAAAAAATGGTTTGTTAATTGTTACATTCTCTTTCCTGACTAGTCAAAAACCCACTTCATGTGAATTTCACCCTGGATAGTTAAATCTGCAAAAAACGAACTTAAATTCTGTTAGAATTGTTAGAACCTCAACAGCAAAAACTTGTATTTAAAATATACCAGAAGTGAGGGTAAATTATGTAGGTAAGTACTATCAATAAAAACTAGTAGCGTTTTTCTTAATACCCTCAATAGTTCTATTTTCTTACTTTTTGAACATACTTTTAGAAGAATACTTATTAATTAGTGTATAGCGTATTAGTGTATGGGCATAGATAGTGAATCTTAAGAAACCAGACAATGGGAATAAATTTAGCTAGAAGTGTCTCTTTCACAATATTGTTATAACAAAACTTAAGACTCATCAAAAAAAAAATATATATATATATATATTGCTGGGCATTCATCCTTCATAGGCATCCTTAAACAATAAAGGAAATTATCGAATGTCAAACAGTATTATATAGTTACCTACTTTGTTTCCTTAGTATATGATAATGGACTATAAAAGTTCATTATCATTCCTATCCTCTATACTTAATCAAGAAGAGCTTGAGGAAAATATGTAGCTAGTTTAAATGTACTTAAAATAGTGATATTGTATCTTGTATTTTTTAGGAATTTATATTTAATTTTACTTTTTATCTGAAGCAGCATTCAGTGTAGCAAAGGCTGATAGTTAAATATATATAGGAAAAAAACATTTTTATGCATTACAGGAGTTATGGGAGGACCAATGGCTAATACCAGTGGTATGGTTGGCATGGGTAATCAAATGGTACCACCATATGGAGCCACGATGCAAAACCAAATGGGAAATATGGGAATGGGACCACAGGTAATTTTAATTAATAATTTTCATTTGGGAAGAGATTTGCATTAAAATATAGAAGCTTAAAAAGTTTACAAAAATGAAATCGAGTGCTAGCATACCTTCAGTTTTGATGATTCAACAATCTCATAGAATCGTTATTTCTAAAGTTTATTTGCATTTAAAAACAGCTAAGTTTGCTTTACTGGAACATTAAAAAAATATCGACGATATCATAATAATTTAATATATGGTTTTCATTCTGTTGCTAAGCTAGTCTGTCGTGATTACCCTCCTTCTAGTTCTGGTTTCCCATAAATCATTCAAAGTGATTACAATCAATAAGAAATCCACACTGGTTTCAAATAAATAATTCAAAGTGATTCCAAAGCTGATTACAATCAATGATATCGTTTTAGGGAGAACAAAAAGGAAGGTAAGGTAAACTGGATAGGATTTGGAGTTCGGATAAGGGATACCAGAGCTCGGAATGGTTTGGGTACACTTGTGTCCATTCTGTCGAGGGCAGTAAGGACAGGCATATTTATTTTTCTTTTTAAAAAGACAACTCCCACTCTAAGAGTTTTCTTTTTATTAAGACAACTCCCGCGCTACGAATGTATCCTGTGTCGCGGGGGATTTACAAACATTCATCATACGGACACAAAGAACACCCAGACTCAGAACAACAGTTTATGGATTTAACAAATTGTTGTCCCATGTCGGGATCGAACCTACAATTCTCAGCGCAGTAGGAAGCGGCCAGGCGACCGCTTAAACCACTATGCTGTCCGTGCAGTTATTAGAGTTGTTGAATATATTATAAAATGTATTTATTGTCATAAACTAGGTTGCTGATAGTCCATTTATATTTGGTCAAAAATCAACTGCTCATTTCAGGGTATGGGAGTAGTAGGAGGAGGTCCTGGTGCGAGCATAGGGCCCCAAAATGTTCAACAAACAGGTAGGTGTTATTAGAATAATAAATTGTTGATTACTTGAAAATGGTTTATTATTACAGACAGACATATTGTTTATGTAATCTTGTAATAACCAATAAGTACTTAGAAAATCCAAAAATGAAGTGCAAAGATTTATTTTCCTTTTTGTGCTATTAAACTAACCAGCAGACGGGTCACCTGATAGTAATTTTTTTTTGCCGCTGCCTATGAACTCCTGCAACTCAAAAGTTACAAGTTTGTTGCCGTCCCTTGATTCCAATCCAAAATCAGAGCAAGGGAGGAGTTTGAGTTCCTTTAACCTCGTTTACTTGGTGAAGAGCGACAAAAGAATTGCTTAACAACGATTTCTGTGAGGCTGTGGTGCTCCGATCGAGTCTGGCCCATATGAGCCAAAGCTTGGCCCTCCCCCAGTTAAATTGGCTTTTCTTCTTTACAACTTTACAATGCTACCATCAAATTGTTGTATAGGTATATTTCCAGCCGTGTGGTGACGGATTAAGAATACGGAGTGTCATCACCCTCATTGATTCCGTGAGTATGGTAAGAGGCGACTAAGGGAGGAAACTATGCAGGAAAACAGCACTGTAAAGAAAAGGAAATATTGACACAAACTCCATACGAACCCTTTTGGCCAGTGTGGTATAGTAGGCCAAAAGTTTTTTTTTCTAAGGAGAGGACTATGTCCAGCAGTGTACTATTAAAGGCTGTTGATGATGATCATGTATGTATTTCATTAGGTATGCAACCTGGTGGTGCTGTGGTATCAGCAGGCGCCGCTCCACCTCCTGCTCAGCCTGCAGCGCCTCCACCTCCTCAGAACAAGGAATTTAACACTGCTTCACTCTGCAAGTATGTATTACATTTTTTAAATTGCTGTTACATTTACTGCTACCAAGTAATGAGTAAAAATAATGAGTAGATTTGTACAACTGAGAAGGATGGGTATGGATGGATGTCAGTATATGCCAGGCGGGCCATTCCACGAATGAACAATATAGAGATATATAAATCTTCTTGTGTGAATACATTTAAAATATTATACATAGAATCGACCACTCTGCGATGCTGTCGAATAAACCATCGCTGCGCTACAGAGATTATCAGATAATTCTTGTCGCTAAAAAACAATGTAGAGATAGGTGGGAGTAGTAGAGATTGGCTAGCGTATGTTTTTCGTTTTGTATGTCATCTTTTATTTTATGACCATCCTTGAACCATCCTTGCATAGAGTTTTGTACTATGACATTTCTAAATAAACTGGACTCCTATAGATTCATATTAGTTCAGGACATATTTCGTTTAAGATACTGTATGGGCCTTAAATTGCTTTTTGCACTTGTTCTACATAAATGAACTTTAAATATTTGCATAAAAAAAACAATAAAATTCTCGTACAAAGAATCCTCCTAGTCCTGAAAGCACCAAAAGTTTTATTTATAATGTTATGATTTTATCAAAAGCTAAACATAAAATGTGTTTTATACTGAATTAGAATTTAAAATATTTCAGATTTGGCCAAGAAACCGTTCAAGACATTGTAAGCAGAACACAGGATGTTTTTCAAACACTGAAAGCTATACAAGTAAGTGCCAGCCTCTGAATGAGTCATTCAAAATTAGATTAGAACAGAATAAGTATACTCATTGACTTTAAGCACTTGATAAACTAAAAAGAGTTTACCTAGACATTATTTTTCTAAGCAGACTAATTAATACAAGAGGTCGACGAGATTCGACTACAATTAAAAATTCTTAAATTTTTTGTTGTTCAATTCCAATAAAAGTTAAACTGTCATTGAAATTTTACATTCCAAGCACAATGTTATGTGTGTTACTTTCTATAATTTTTTTATGTATGTAATTTTTAATATTGTTTAAAATTCTTAGTTTTCTTTGAATATAAACTAGCATTTCAAATTAAACATTTCGTTTTCATAGAAATTAGTACATTACAAATAATTCAATTTGATTATTATTATATAGATTGGGAAGTTTTTTTAATGTGGTCTCCTTTATAATCCTTTACTCAATACTGCTAGCACTTGCATATCGCATCATGTAGGCTGTGGAATTGAATCCGCAGTAGCTGTATACAGCTATGAGTGATACTGTCCCAGGTTTTAATAGTCTTAAATCAGCTTGAAAATGTTGTGTGGCCTGTTTGTCATTTACTTAAAACTATCTTAACATTTTATACTTTCAGCCTCCAAACGGTACACAGCACGGTGAGAATGCCAGTAACGATAAGAAGGCAAAGATGCAGGAACAACTTCGTACCATCAGATTGCTGTTTAAAAGACTGAGGCTCATCTATGAAAAGTGTAACGAGACATGTCAGGTACAACTTTTAACTTTGTTATATCTAAATAAAATCTTCTTCTCTGTCGTGTCGCTTTTGGCAGAGCAGTCTTGGTCCCATTGAGAACTCTACGTCGGTGGCAGAGGCGGACACAGCCCTTCGTACAATCGCCCGCCATCTCTCCCTGTTGGTAGACTGTCGGATACAGTCAACACAAGCAGCCTCCCATTGCGGATCTCACCTAGTCATCACCTGTGATGCCGAGCTCCTGGAGTATGGACACGTTGGTGCGGAAGTCCGTCCACGATATCCCGTGATAATTTTGTATCCACCAACTGCAACACAATCGGTCCAGTCCTCAAGAGTTGAATAGCAAAGGTGAGATTATACAACCTTGTGGAACGCCCGCACTGGGATGGAAACTATCTGAGAGGAGGTCGTCAGTCCGCACTGAAGCTGTTCCTCCTCCGTAGAGCTCCTTCAGTAGGTGCACGAGGTGTTGTGGTTTGCCCATGTCTAGTAGTGTTTTCCACAACGTTGGCCATTTTACCGAGTCGAATGCTTTGGAGAAATCCACAAAGCATATGTACGTGGGCTTGTGGAACTCTCGATCTACCTTTTCAATTATTTGGCGAACGATGAGAATTTGTTCACGGGTTCCTCCTCCTTTAACAAATCCTGCTTGTTCTGGCGCAATTTTTCTGGATAGATATGCTTTCAGCCGCTCATTTATGATGTGTAGCATTATTTTGCTGGCATGTGTTATAAGCGCAATAAGTCAGAAGTTGCTACACTTCTTCGTGAAACCTTTTTTGTGAAGAGGACTGAATACTGTGTGATCTCATTCAGATGGCCATTTGCCAGTTAGAAATTTTCTATTGCATAGTATAAAATAAAGTCGCTTTTTTGTGTTGTACGCTTAGATCTTTAATTTGTAATGTACTACGGAATTGTATATCTTAAAAAGATCCACAAAATGTCTATCTACAAAATGTCTTTCTCCTAAGGATAACGCACAGTAACCATTTTTATCTTTTAAATATTCCAATAAAATAATGGTGATATTTAAGAAGCTATTTTAAAGAAAACATTATTATTCCTTATAAAATTAAATACGTTAGATGAGTTGTGCATTTAATGTAGATTAAAATTGCATTGTACAGTATATCATTAAACTGAATGTTTTAGCAGATATTATAGGTTTAAAATGCGGGGGCCCAAAGACCGTCCTGCCTTGCGTCCATCCAGGGTGGCAGCGGCCGGAAGGATCGGAGGAGGCCTATAAATATTTCATTTAAAGATGTCCTGTAGTATAGTCCTATCATAATAATAGTATAATTAATTACTCCACACTAAAACCATATTAGTACGAATAGTATCTACATTGCATCCGTGCGAAGCCGGGGCGGATCGCTAGTATATAAATTTAGAAAAAAATGTTTCGAGTGCACAGTTTTAGTATTGGTATCTTTTGGGAATTGATATTTCTTCTTCTTCTGAAATTTACAAATTGATCATCAACAGCCTTTAACAGTCCTCTGCTGAACATTGGCCTCTTCTCAGAAAGGAGGTTTAGGCCTACTATACCACGCTGGCCAGGCGGGTTGGTATAGGGTTGTGTTTTCCTTCTCTTTGCAGTGCTGTTGTCCTACGTAGTTTGCTCCCTTAGTCGTCTCTTACGACACTCACGGGATGAATAGGGGTGGTGACTCTCCGTTTTCTTAATCCGTCACCACACGATAATAAGTATTAAGTCAATTGACTGGATGTTAAGGAAGTTACAGCGGCGATTGACCACTGTGTGATGTTCAATAGCATATAAACCTTCTAAAAGAGTTTGTTTATATTATATATTATTATATATAATAATAATAATAATAATTCTTTATTTTTCTTCTCACAATCACCAATCAGTACAATATTAACTTACATCAATAACTAAAATTAGAAACAGTAATTGTGAGAGGACTGGTGTCTGAATTAGACATAAGCCTGTAGCTCAGATCACCAGGCACTCACCCTTCTTTAACATTTCTTTGCTGTCAATACATTATTAATGCAAATCAAGGAAATACATTTAAAGTTCAGAGAAGATAAAAATCATAAGGATACCAATATATGAATACGAAACACATCTTAAAAGAAAAGGAGAAATAGACAACATGAGGGATACCTCAATGTATGTTTTGCGCGTGTGTGAATATGTGTGTGTATGTTTGAATGAATGAGTATATATGCCTGTCTGTAGTGCGCTAATAGTGTTAGATAATGTGTTAGTGTAGTAAATTATGAGTTAATTTGTTTGAAATATAAAGTTGTTACCCAAAATCACCCGTGCTAATAATTACTAGCTATGTAATAAACTTTCAGTAGTACGATAGTCAAGGCCTTTTAGCCATTGTATTATTACAGGCTTGCATGCCGATGTTGTATGATCGTATATTGAAAGAATGCGGTTTACTTTGTTGTAGAGGTAGGCGCCCAGATAACAGAAAAAGTGATGTGAGAAGCTAGTATTAAATTTGTCTATGTTACAGACTCTATCCTTTCTGCGCCTTTGGTATTGAGATCCAGGATCAAATACCACCATTGAATGTTGTCTGATTACAGTATGCAGGATAAACAGTTGGCGGACCGTTAGGACGTCACCTTGTAAATAGACATCAGTGGTAGGATGGAAGAAGGGTAAAAATGAACCAACTTTAAGTATAGCTCTCTGCGATCTTTCAACCTTAAGAAGATCTCTTTTGGCTACTCCACCCCAAGATGTTATGCAGTATGTTATTAACGACTGGCAGAGAGATAAGTAGACAGACTTGATCAAGTCTCTATCAGCCACATGTCTTAGATTTTTAAAAATGTAAATAAGCTTACGTACTCTTTTGGATAGTTGCTCAATATGCTCCCTAAAACTTAAATTTCGATCTATCACCACACCTAGATATTTTATACTATCCGCAGACTGCAAACTGGGACAAGAACAACCTAACATATTTGAACTTTGACATGTGTGACAGCGAATACTAAAACAACCTTCTTCCACACCAGAACCCCTTATAGAAAATGTCATATATCTGGTTTTGTCCACATTTAGGGTTAACATGTTAGCTTGCAACCATCTATTTACTATATCAAAACCCTTCTGAGCATATGAAAAGGCTTTGGTCCAAGTATCACCCCAAAAGAGTAGGGCAGTGTCATCTGCGAAAGTGCAGATTTTAGTATGGGGAAGGTCCAGCTCACACAGGTCGTTTATATAGGTTAGAAAAAGAGTTGGACCTAATATACTCCCCTGTGGTACGCCAAAACAAACAAACACCTCATCACTCCTGACACTGCCAATCTTTACTAGCTGGGTCCGGTTGCTTAGGTAGCTCTTAAATAATTTTAGCTGCGTACCCCTGATACCTAATTTTTCCAGCTTCCCCAACAGTAGTGGGACAGAGACTGTGTCGAACGCTTTTGCTAAGTCTAGAAATACTGCTATAGCCTTCTGCTTTTTGTCTAATTTCGTAACTACAAAATTAGTTAATTCGTGAACTGCGTCACCTGTCGATCTTTTAGCCCGAAATCCATATTGCGCATTTGATAGCAAATTATGTTCTTCTAAATATTTAACCAATCTTCTATTTATTAATCGTTCCAGAATTTTTGATAATGTCGGCAGAATAGAAATAGGTCTATAATTATCGACACAGCCTCTATCCCCTTTACCCTTGTACACTGGATGAATTTGTGATTTTTTTAATGATGCCGGGAATACTCCAGTTGAAAAAGACAGATTACAGTTGTGTGTAATAGGTAAGGTCAAAATGTCTTTATATGACTTGAGAATATTAGCCGAAATCATATCTAATCCAACCGCACAATCACTTTTGAGGTTTTTTATTTCTAAATCAATCTCAGAACAGTCAGCTGGCAAGAGTACAAAAGAGTTCAGACACTGGTCAGGATTAACCAGATTGGAGTGATATGGACCAGTAATAATTTTTTCAGCCAAAACTCTCCCAATATCAGCGAAATACCCATTAACACAATTTACGTCTCTCAATGCATTTTCAGTACTTAGTAATTCGTGAGGTGAATCTTTTTTTTTAGTAGTGTTTGTAATTTCTTTAATGGTTTTCCATAATTTTTTGTTATTAGTTTTAGAATTTTGAATTTGTTGCTTATCATAGTTCCTTTTAAGTTTTTTTAATATTAAATTGCAATAATGACCATATCTTTTGTGCGTGATTCTTATTATTTCATTGTTAGGTTGTTTTTTTGTTTTTCTATAAAGATTGTCCCTATTTCTAATACATTTCAACATACCTGGTGTCATCCACGGTTTCAGTAATCGCTTGCGGCGAGTAATTTTAGTAGATTTAGTGTTACCAATAATAAGCTCATGAAGTATGTTGATAAAAAAATCGGTCGCAAAGTTTACCTCGTCACAACTATAAATCGGACTAAAATCCACAAGTTTGATCGCTTTGTCAAATTGTAGAACATCTAGACGGTCAATAAATTTGGCCGGTTTAACCCTTAGTGGTGCAGAAACAAAGAGTGCTATACTCTCATGATCGGTTAATGACGTTGGAAGTACCAGGCATTTTGCAGATAATTTCATCCTAAGCAGGACATGATCTAAACAGGTTTTACCGTGGGTTGGAATGGTATGAGCTGGCAGATAACCATTATACGCTAACATGTCCAGATAAGACGCTTTGTTAACATCCGTACTGGCGGGTGCGATGTCGATGTTAATATCGCCCAGTATAATGATATTTTGTACTGTGGAATAACATTGTAGTAACTCATTAAGTGATTGAATGAAGTTGTTTACATTTTTGTAGCCTGGAGGCCGGTAGATAGCTATTGTAATAGTATTTCTGTCACACTTTATGATTAAGCAATTAGCTTCCGACAGTTCCCCCTCCTCAACCGAAATAATTAGTTCACTTTTGAAATACACGACAACTCCTTCATTTTGAGAACAGTTTTTGACAGTAGCATAGGAATTATAACCTTCCACAACAGGAATATTAGACGTCATTGGGAGCCAGCATTCAGTTAAGACGAAACAATCCCAATCTATTTTGGTGTTTATTAATAATGAGAGTAAACCGGTTATATTACAATTTATGCTTCTTATATTTTGAAGGAACACTTTAAGAATCGAACCAGTGGCGGGTAAAAACAGTTTGCAGTTTTCAACCTCACATATAGATGTTTCAGCTATTTCATAGCTGTCAATATCAGTTTGTATTTGATTAAAAACATTGAATTTAAATAAATTATATATTTGTAAGTGGAGATGGCAAACAACATGGTATTTAATAGTTCATGTAATAGTGTAAGGTGTGAATTGTAAATATTATTACAACAAATGTATGAGGTTTGTGAAGAGGCAGCCGGTTTTGTAATATATTGTTTACTAAAATAAATTATATAAAATTTTCCCAGATACATGTCATGACAAATGGCGAACACGGAATAGCAAACTACTATCTTACGGCTATGAATATTGTGTGTATAATTCGAGAAAAAAGTATTTAAAAATTGTGTATGTAACAAAAAATGAGTTTTACGGGCATGATTAGATGAGGCAATCAGCTGTATGTAAATGTAATAGTTAGTAAAGTTAGGGTAGTTTGGTAAAAAGCTTACTGCCATACCACAACGAGCAACTGAATTAGGGCAGGTGCTACCACTTATCATGTCATGCATTGTAGGAAATCTGAAGAATTTCACTAATACTATATCAGAATTATTTATAAGAGGATATACATTTGTCTCATGCAAAACAACTAGCAAAGTTTTTATTAGTTTTGGACAGATGTCTTTAAGTTTAGTTTTAAATCGAATAAAGATAATAACAACTCCATACAAGAATAACATGCAAGCAGATATTATGCCATAATATTTAACAAATAAGTAAATAGTACCTATATTGTATATTATAAAGATTCCATATAGTCTAAATTTAAATAAATAGCCATTTAACAACTTATAGCAATCTATAAAACATACAGCCAAAATATTTATATTAGACGTTACTTCGTGGATAAAAAAGTTAAGCATTGTTCAGTCTTTATGTGAATAGGCTTAGAGTCTTTTTCAGTGCGCATTAAAATTTTACCATTTGCGTGCCAACAGGAGTAATTGTTTAGTTTAGCCACTATGCGAGCCTCATATAGTAACTTCTTAAGGGTTGGTGTAAGATGTTCGTCTACATATATGGCTTTTCGATCTCCTGGGAAACCAATTGTGATCGTGCTTAATTTGTCGCTTATAGTCCGCTCCTTGTTGAATGCGCGCACCGTTGATAGATAATTATTTCTTGCCGAGACTGATGTAAACTCCGCCACAATCGGTCTAGTTATACCCGGCCTGCCCGGAAGGCGGTAAATATCGCGTAGGTCTGTTGATTTTACATTTAGATTTATGGCCTGACCAATACTGGACACAACAGACAATAGATCACTTGTTTTTTCTTGTTCTCTTAGTGGTATATTGCGAAGTTCTATCGAAGCAGAACGGGTCACCAAACTCATGTCCTGGATTTTTTTTTCAAGGCTATTAATTTTTTCTCCATTTTCTTTTTTCCCTTTCTCTAAAGCACATATTTTGGCTTTCATTTCTTCATAGTTACAATTTATAAACTCCATCCCTTGTTCGATTTCCAAATTCGATTTTTGTATTTGTTGGCACTGTTGTTTAAGATCGGAAACTTCCCGCGTGAGCAAAGAAAGAGTGGCATCCTGCTCAGACTTCCACTGAGTAAATCGTATATCTTGCTCAGTTTTCCATGTTGTAAGCATTTGCATGATGTCATTTTTTAAACTGACAATATTAACTGACGAATTATGATGACATTGACTGCCCGGTGGCGAATCTTCGACTCGCTGGCGTTTACCCCGTAGCGTTATACTATTATTTGACTCGCTTTTTCCTTGTAAAGTCGATAGGTCAGACTCTGATATTGATTTCTCTTGAGTTAACTTTTTATTGTTTGAAGATGGAGGTGTACGTGGTGTTTTGTTACTCATATTTACGACGTTATTAATTATCTAGTGTGATTAGAAAGCAAATTTAATGAGAAACAATTCCCCCACAAAACACTTCGTAGCCAGAACTATAAATTCACACAGTTTGTTAAGTATCTGCGCGTAGTAGTGAGTGTCTACTATGTGAGCCTACTATGACGTCAGCCGGGTTGCACAGTAAACAACTGCGGCGGCGCAGGCACGGTGGCGGGGATAGCGGCGAACGCTCGGCGCACCGAGATAAGGGATTGGGAACTTCGTCAACAAACGACGAGTACGTTTAGCACTGTCGGCGCACTTCGGTTTCCTTAGAGGAACGAGTTCGATCCTCGGTGGGGCGATGACAAATAATGTGTTTTCAAATTATATAGAAGATTGTTACCTCCATCTATCCTGTTCTTGAGCCGCCCACTGGGTGGAGTCACTCCGTTAAAACAGTGCAGGAGTAAAAGAGAATTTGACTTTGAGCAATTATCCAATCACCAAATAATATTTACAAAAATAGCAAATATAACTAATAAGATCAGTTAACGCGTCCGCTTCAACTCGCGTCAGCCGGGTGAGTCCAAAATATTTATATTATAAGCGCTATTCAGTACTTGTAGCTTTGGAGAATAGCGCGTTCAAGAAACAAAAAAAATGTATCTTCGGCTTTAACGTGATAGTTCAGAAGTATAGATAAAACTTAGATGTAGGTAAACACTTTCAACTTTTCTACCTCCTCCCAGAAGGGCAGATTTATTTAGATCATAGGCCTCAAGAAGGTTTCGATCTAAGCAGCGCTTTCTTTTTGTCCTATGCTACAAATGTGTAAATTTCTTTGTTGAACACATGTTCTTTTAACCTAAGAGATCTAGAAATACCAGGCATTTTATATTAAAACGAAATCCAGTGGTCCCTGCACGTATTTGTCGAGTAAGAAAATCTCTAGCTGTTTATTTTTCAGGGAATGGAATATACCCACATGGAGAGTCTCATACCGTTGAAGGATGAAGCTGAAAATAAGGCGCTGGACGAGAGACGGAACACGGAATCGTATAGATTAGCTTTAGAAGAGAACAGGGAACTTACAGACCAGGTATCTATGTTTTGAATGACTTATGTATACTTTTAAAGGTGATTTTGTAGTCGTACTGGAACCCAGTCATCTCACCTGTTTCAACTTAAGATTGATAACAGTGTACGGTTGTACACCATTGTTAAATAGTTGGAAATATATTTTGAAGGGGCTGACACAATCCGTCAGCTCCATTTCAAATTAAGAAAACTGCAGATGGATCTGCACTGCACCAAATAAATGTAATTTTCAATCTGTGATCAATAAGTATGATATGCAAAAAGAATTGCTTGCCTAGTGTACAATATCTTATAGGTTATGGGAACTAAAATGTTCTTTGACTTATTTTTCAGGTGGTGTTAAAAAACAAGCAGCTGAAAGAAGTGATAACAAATCTCAGGACTATTATTTGGGAAATAAATGTTATGCTGACCATGAGAAGATCTTAAATTATATGTCTATTTATTTATGACTGGTAACTCCACCAGGGGAAATGATAAACCCTTATGACCCAATCGAACCGGACTACCTAAGAGTTGTTCAATCAAGTAATACAAAGGGCTTGGTTGAAATCAGGGAATTAAATCGCCGAGAACTCAGGGCTTCTACATAAATCATATTTGTATATATACTTACATAATTTAAGAGTAATCTAAGTATATTTATAATGATACGGTAATTTGATTAAATGGGTTTTTACTATTTACATTCTTCTGCATCAGCTACATTATACATGTTTTTGCTAAACATGGGCACTACCAAAATCCATATTCACATCAAGACTACTTTAAAACTTGGTTTTATGTATTTAAATCGGAGCAGTTCTTAATGTTTAACCAAGTTATATATGACTTTTACGGTTGCTAATACATATGTATAATGGAAAAAATCAAATATAATATTATGAATTCAGTTGTTTAGACTCAAGATAATTTTTCCGTTTTAGTTAGTACACACAGATAATGTTAATCCATAAAGCGTAAGGATTTATCCAAAATAAATAAATATGTATGTTGCCAGCTCCTATGGATCGTTGAGTAAGTGTATTTTTTTAACCCCCGACGCAAAAACGACGAGGTGTTGAAAGTTTGACGTCTGTGTGTGTGTGTGTGTATCTGTCTGTGACATCGTAGCTCCCGAACGGATGAATAAATTTTGATTTTATTTATTTTTTGTTTGAAAGGTGAAATATTCGGGAGTGTTCTTAGCTATGTTTGATGAAAACGCATTATATATTTTTTCACAACTCCCTCAATATGGGTATCAAATGAAAGGGCTTAACTAGTAGAATACTACACACTATGACAAATTTCAAATCCAAGATGCTTTTTTTTTTTTTTTTGTGTGATGTATGGTTGTTGGCCTCGGATGGCCTCGACAACCTTGCCCGGGCTTTTCGGTGAGCGCAGAGGGCTCTCAACCGGTCTTTATTTAGTAACATCGCCCAAGGGCACCCCCTGTGGGGTACGAACCTCGGCTTGGGGCGTTACTGGCAAACTAGGGCGACCAAGACCCACATTTAGGAGTTAACGCGGCGCGTATTCCGGCCCCGGCGGCGAGGACGGAATCGCGGACGATTCGTGGTAGCTGCGCGAGCTGTGTACACTCGCTGCTGAGCGAGGGTGATAGTGTCGTCTGGCTCAACTAGAGCGTGTTTCGGTCTGCGTGTGCGTGAAATTTTGCTGGGTGTGTAATTAACAGCCGCAACCACTAGAGGGTTGGGGTGAGTCGGAGCAGAGTCAAAGTAGCTAAGGGAGCACTGTTTTATGAATTGCCTGATGGTCGGCAGCTCGAGGTCGATATGAAGGTCGACATTACGCACATACCACGGTGCTCCCGTAGCCCGGCGCATGAAATTATTTTGTAGTGTTTGTAGCCTATGGATCCTGTGTTGCCTAGCGTGTGCGAATACTACACTACCGTATGTCATGATAGGTCTAATACATGACGTGTATAATCTGACTTTGTTTTTGAGTGATAATTTGGACTTTGAGTTGACTAAACTATGGAGTCGACCCAACACGAAGGCGGCCCTGTTGCGAACCGCCTTAATGTGGGGCCCGAAGGTTAGTCGATCGTCAAGGATTATGCCTAGATATTTGGCCTGCCTAGCCCAGGGGATAGGCGTACCAAACATCCTTATCTGTGGGGTTCCAAGATGTGTGTCCAAGGGTAGTTTTTTTTTTTATTTATACTAGTTTTTTATTATTTAATAAATTATGTTCATATAAATGAGATGATTTCATTTATTTACTTTTAATGATACTTAAGATATTATTATGTCGTGTAATACTAACATTAAACAAATAAAAACGGTGTTAAGTAATTATTTCTTTGCTTTTCACCGAGCGAATGAGATTACGTCTCCCCTTGATTCCGAGAGGAGGACTCAACGGTGGCCACACACGTCCACGAACGTTGTTAGTACACCTACTACATTCCTAAGACGCCTAGGAATATAGTAGGGGAGTTGTCCTTGTCTTTTGAAAATACTAATAAATAAAAAATAATATGAAAGTTGATTCTGAAGTAAGTTAAAGTTGTAACAGAAAGGAATACTTGTCGATCCTCGATGCCATATTATTAGTAGAACTTAATCATTACTAGCATCGAGAAGAGAAAACCTACCACGATTTTTACCAGTTCGCCGTTGTTGCAGCGCTAGAACCTTACAGTATACCATGTCTATGTATGTATGTAATTGTTGGTTGAGGTGTATCTTTGAATGTTGTCACCGTATGTGTTGACATCACCAGCAGTGGATCATCATCATCATCATCAATAGCCTAGGCGTACTAGGAATATAGTGGGGTAGTTTACAAACATACCTGAAACGGACACAAAGAACAACAAATTGGTGGATCACATAAACTGTTGTTCCATGTGGGGATCGAACCCAATACACTCAGCGTAGTGGGAAGCGGCGAGGTAACCGCTTAAACCACTTCGCCATTCATGCAGGCACTCACAGTCGACGTGGGACAAAATCACTGTGAACTGTGAATGATCGGTGATTTATCTGTTTTACTATGTTCTGATTTACTGTTAAATAGGCGAAATAGGGACTTTATGCGTCGTCTGAAAACAGTTTTTTGGGAACAACGCGTAAGTAGCAACCCTAACCTACGTACGAAAAAATCAAATGAAAAATCCCAGTTCACAGTCATTTTGTCCCATGTCCACTTCACAGAATGGTTCTTGATAGTGGAATAAGTATTTTATTACCCAACTGCCAAGATGGCTGGATGGATTTTTACGGATGGCATTTCACGTTACACACATCCCTAGTAGTTGCACTAGAGAGGCGCACCAAACGTAGCCTGTAACAGCACACGAGCAACATTCGCCATATCTGGACACACCTTTACATTTATCATTTTACATTTTAACTTTACCGTTCTAAAAATACTCCTTCATATCGATATATGGGTCTATTTTAAAAATATAAGTTTGTCATCATCGTCAAAAAACATATTACATCCCGGACTTGTTTTATTACTAATCTTTTAAAATCTTGCTTGTCGCATGGTATTTGATGAAAAATTCTTAATGATAACTACGTAATTTGAGGCCATTGGAAGTGCTCTTTAAATTTTGATTTAAATGGAATAGCTTAAATATCTTTCGATTGAATTAGTTGAATATTTTACACCTTTAGGAGACCGCAGAAATAAAATTTCAAATTTAAACTAGTGCCTAACAAATAGACAAATGGGTGGAAAAGACGATGAACTTAAAAGCTTTTTTTTCGATTTGAGGAACGTAACCCTGCAAAAATAGTTAAAACAATGACTGGTGAACTTTGCAATTGATATCAGATGAATAATATACATTGTAGGTTGTTGTACCCTTAACATCTTTTCAAGATGCAGTTAATATTTCGGCATACTACGTTCCGTCTAGTAAGGTCGTCACCAACTTTAAGTTGGTGAACATAATATATAAGTAAGCCAATGTGGTTCACGTTGAACTCCAATTTACTGCGAACACCTCTGGACAGAAGTGTCAGCCGCTCTTTTCCACACATACTTCCAGGATCAGGCTACATCATGAAAACTATTTTACATCTATCACAATGTAGATATTACTGATAACAGGTACGTACTTGTGTATAAAAGAATGCAATTAAATATAATGTTAACACGGGCATTTCTTTAATTTAATTTCCTTCAATTCAGAGCTGTGTGCAGAGTGAGTGCAACAAAAGCGTTATCATATATGTAACTAAAGGAGTTTAAATAAATATTGTACAATAGATATAATAAATAACTTTACTTCAATAAGTTTTGTAAATAGTTTAGATACAAAGGAGCAAACTGCTACGATTACATTGAGTTAATAAATAACATCAAAATAAATAAAACCACTGGCAAGCTTTCCGAAAAGTGAGTATTCAAAATTGTTTATAAAATTAAGTAATGTAATTAAACTTAAAACTAAAACTTAAGTACTTTTAACTATAGACTTATCTACGTTCGATCGGTTTCAGAACATCGGAACTGACTTTCTTTTTCTTTTCGAGAAGTTTCTTTTCGTAAGGGCGATGGTCTACGATTTGGTCCGCGTTGGCGGGAATATCGTCATTGAGTTGTGGCTGGTCGGCTTGTTCGGGTACTTCAGGAGACGCATCGAGTTCTTTACCCGCGCTTCGGCCCACGGGCAGCTCATGGAAGGCCTCTGCCAATTCAGGGTTGATCTCCTCCAGCGGTGTGTCCCCTATCCTAATGTAGACTGGCACTTGTCCTGGGACTGGTCGGAGGTACTGCCAACTGGGGAATGCCTCTGAAACAATAATGATGTAATTAGCTTACGCATAAATTCACGATTGTCTTCCTTTGGGGTACGCAGAGACAAGGTCGTTCGCAATAAAAATATTTCAAGTTACATCACAGTCAGTCCACAGTCATACAGTCTACATGATATGTCATCATCATTCTCATCACTTTCAACAGCTTTTACTAGTCCACTGCTGGACATAGGCAGAGGCCTATGTCCAGCAGTGGACTAGTAAAAGCCGTAAAAAGGTAGTTTTGGCCTACTATGACTATACATGACATGTAAACTTCTTAATCAAATAAACGTGAAGAGGTTCGACTACGAGAATCATAAAATGGCGGGACAAGATATTTATAAATATAGTTCTAAAATTACATTGCAAATATTACACTAGTTTAATCATAAACCTATTAATGGTTCATTGACCTAGCGGCCAAGAGTGGTGATTATTTCGTGAATGTTCGCAGACAAAACAAAAATGTATGTGTATGGGTATGTGTGTACTATTTTGTATGTTTGTAACAGATTCACAGTAATGCTCATGTCTCCTAGCTAATTGCGTGGATTTTATTGTACATTGCATGTTCTATGTTTAGAAATCATTAACTAGATACAAGAAATAAATAATGGTTTATTATAATAAACCTTTATTAACAACAATTAATTATTCACAACCTTTATTAACAATATTAACAATTATTATTATTAAAACAAGACTATTAAGTCTCAGTGTCAATTCGAATGGTTTCGTAGTTTTCGATTTTATTCAAGGCGACAGCTTTGCAGGGGCTTAATAATGATGAAAAATGCGACCAAATTTCTCATTTAGAGTTTTTAGTATTCTTTGCAGAAAACAACCGAAACATAAAAACCACATAATAGACGTGACTACTCATTTTGCCAATGTTTTTTTCAAAAACACTCACTCACTTACTTTATTTAATTTCTCTGTCTAATTTTTAATACGAACCTTGTCCTGACAATTAGCAAAAATAAAAAGTTTAAGTGCAGTGATAAGCTTAAAACCTACATTGGGAAATTTTTTGTTATCCATTCAACCATCTGACCATTAAACCATAAATGGATAAGTAGTAGTAGGTAGGTACTAATTCTTTATATATGTGAATAACAAAATATGAAAACACATAGTATGATACAATTTTCTTTGAGCTCTATCAAAATATTTATAAAATAAGTAGTTATATAATGTGCTCAAAATTGATAATTCCAAGCAGTAGATTAGTTAGATAGGTCACTGACTTAGTTATCGCTTAGCCGTTGCAATTACGAGTATATTATGGTTTTTACAACGTATTTTTTGTATGAAATAACGGTATATCTCTTTAGTTTTTAAATCTGTTGAGTGACATGGTACACAACAAATTAAACTTACAACATACCAAGTGGGCATATTTTTAGCTTGCCCCATTTAAAAAAAAATATTATTTCAATATTTAATAACATAGTTTCATCGTTTCAGGTCTAAGTACGCACCTGTAAATGAGTATGTTTTTGGTACCAGAATAAAACAGGACGCTATTTTAAGGAAAAATATTTGTATAAAAACGATAAAATACATTATTTATTTATTTTCATCCATCTTTGAAGTTATTTCTATTCATTTGTGTCTATACAGATAACGTTCTCAGTTTTTAATTTTTTCCGGGCTTAGGCTGCTTACGTCAATAAATACAAATATATTTCAAAATAGCATAACTTTAATAATGATAAGCTTGTTAATGAGCTCCATAAAACGGTGCGCCATATAAATATAACCTGTTTTGATCTTTCGACTTAGTATAGTCTCGATGCAGAGAAGAGCACTTATCTATGCAATTACATGACCCCAAGAATAGCCACGGTCGTTGGTTCGACCATTCGTACTGCACGTCGCAATAGCATGCATCCGTGCATCGTATATTCGCTAATATCTAGATAATAGCAGGCTGGCTAGATCGTTTTCCTTCTTATAGACCGCGAAGTTCGTTCACCTCATAGGTATGCAGCAGCAGACGCTGAAAGATACTGATCTATAGATCAAGGGAATTGGTTTCGGTAGTGTAAAATTGATTGTATTTAAAATATATTCATAGAAGAATTTTGAGCTACTGAAGTCAACTACTAGAGGCATAGGACAAGGATAGTATGCCCTCTGTCTAGTTTGAGGATTTATATGTATTGTGACGTCGATGACGGGACATTCTTAGACGACATTAATAAAATCTTAAATTGAAAATAGGACGATTTTTTGAATTTCTGTCCTTATTTAAAATTATGCTAGCACCTCACAGGAGAATGCTGAATGATAGATGGAGTGCCACTGATCATCAAACCTATCATATCGTGATCCATTCTGATTGGCTACTGTTTGTAACACGATGTCTGAAGCGTGTTAAATGAATAATCACGCTACTATTTCATTATGTTATTTATAGTTATTTAGTTAAATAGGCCGGCGCGACAGGAGTGGTACCACGGCCTCACAAAACACCGGTGTTGAGCAATTCTCACAGAGCGAGTGAAGTTACTGGAGACCAACACAGGGAGAGTTGGTTCCACTTTCGGGGATGGGGATTTTGGACTCACACACACACACACACACAAAGGGCAACAATGTCGGCAACGCACTTGTGACTCTTGTTTTTTATTTTTTTACATCTGACACAACGCCATCTAGTTTCAAACAAGCAGAGCTTGTACGATGAAAGCTAGATTGACAGCTAGAATACTTATATACTTTTTTTTTGTAAATACATACATATTATACATAGAAAACACCCAAACTCAAATAAAATATTTTGCAGATCATGCAAACATTTGGTTCGACCCGGTAAACGAACCCGAGACCTCAGCACAGCAGTCGCACCACTGCACCACCGAGGTAGTCACTGCAATCGATGAGCGGCAATAATCACTTACCATCAGAGGTCCAAGTGTAAGTTTGTTTCACATCTACTTGTTCGGCGCTGTGATTGGCCCGCACTAAAATCTTCACCAATCGCAACGCCGAGCGCGCTCGCTCTCGAGAGCGTGTTGATGTGAAACAACTTGCACTAGGCCCTCAGCTGACCCTGCTCGTAAGTGACTACTGCAGCTCTGATCTGCTCGTTCCTTTACATACATTAAATAAATTTTCTATTATTATTTGGTTTCAGACTGATGTTAATACATTTTTTAAGAAGTAGGACAGGTATCTACCTAAACACGCCTTGACGGTCAAAATGTTACTGGTGCTGCTAAAACCAGTCTCAAGCGGGTCAATAGCGTCCAACTTGAATGTTCGATGTTCATCAATTTTATGATTTGCCATAGCTATCAACAAACGCACGTTTCACTATATGTACCTATACTTACTAACGCAATATTTGAAAAGTAAACTTCGCTTTTCATCGCCATGTAGTGTTCTGATTTACAATTAAAAGAGTATTTGCCCTATTATTATGAGTGGATATCTACTGTGATATGTTACTTCAAAGAGGTGTTAATTTAATGTTTCAAATCAAAGATATGTTACAAAAGTTTCTTTATCTCTGCGGTTTTGTTCTATTAGATTATTTACAATAGTTTAGTAAATTCATCTGGTTTACCACTGTATGTTAGTTACTAAGGCACTAGGGAGTTAGGGAGGGTGGGATATTTTGTCCTAACAAGTTTAACATTTCAGTAAAAAATCGTCGTCAATTTAAATTCTCATCTCTACCAGAAAGGAAGATATTAAAAAAACATATTTGGAAAAAGTTGAATTTTGAATAGACTGTTTTAAAATAAATACCTTGGTATTAGCTACTGTATGTGTTATCAGTATCCATCAAATTTATCATTTTTATTATGTTTAAACTGTAACGTAGTATACACTGGTTCACATTGAATTTTATTCATATATTGCACAAGTCATTAATTATGTAATCAATTACAAAATTTATAAAAATAAACCGGCTTGTCAATATATTTTAATATCTTAGAAATGACGCTTCTTTCAAATACATGACATTGGCAAAATTGTGGTTACACTCTACCACAAAGCCATTAACCAAAAGTTGAAGTTGAAGAAATGACGCTTTAACGCGACCTTTTTCATTTATTTTTACAGACCTAAATAATTTTTAATTATAGTCGATAAAGTGCCGATGCCACCAACAGCGAGCAAGATTTTAGTTACAACTTAAGACCTGAATGTATTCTAAGACTATTTTATAACCCTTCTTTTCTCTATTCGAGTATATAACTAAAATTTTACGACTTGCACTAGTCGTGTAATTATAATAACTGTTACAAAGCTGCATACTCGTATACTGTACTTTAACCTAATACTTTTTAACCGTTAAAATTGAAATGCCTTTTTGATTACCTTTACAATTTTCTTCTACTTCCAGTTTGCTTGCGTTAGCGTTAAGATACTGATGTGAATGTATGACCACACCGGCTTTCTAACGGTCGCTTCATTGGACTCAAGGCTGAGTTTTTGCTTGTCAAAACGCTAACTGTACCTGCCTCATTTGTCCAGCACACTTCACCTAAATTATTTCTAAGTTTTATCGATTTTGGTTTCAAATATTATATTTATAAGATTCACATTTCAACGCACACCGAGCCAGTAGCGCTATCTCCATATTTCAATGATGTTTATTTCTGACGCTTGCTCTAGATTTAAGTTTCAACTGATACTTTACTCATTGTCTGTTCGTCTCGTAAATTACTTCATAATCTAGGAAATAAATAGGCTGAAAACAACTAAGACTATAACGTAGAACAGTGATTTCATAAGTGGTCGATATCGACCCTTTGGTGTTTAAATTGGTTTCTCGGTGGTCGACGTAAACGAAAACTAATTTGGGCATTGACGAGGTCGAACAATCGACTCCTAATAATTAACAAAAGTTTTTATTTTAAACTTTCAAGATACTGCATTAGTATTTAGCGCAGCATTTTGGCTATATTTTTTTTTTATGTTAGAGGGGGCAGACGAGCAGACGCGTCACCTCATGGAAAGTGACCATCGCCGCCCATGAACGTCCGCAACTCAGGAGTCACAAACGCGTTGCCAGCCTTTTAGGAAGGAGTACGCTGTTTTCTTGAAGGTCGTATCGGTCCGGAAATACCGCAGACGAAAACCCGTTCCACAGATTGGTTGTGCGGGGCAAAAAATGTCACGAAAAGCGCACAGTAGTGGAGCGCCAACTATCCAGGTGATGAGGATGAAAATTTTGCAATGGCTCTTTTAAGGGACCTGGAGGCTAAGTTATATTTTTTTTTAGCTTGCTGGTATTAACATCGCCTGCCGCTGCATTTGTTCATGTTTGGTAGCATTCCCGCTTTCCCTTTTTTTTTGGCCCTAAGTAGTTTGCGAATCCCTGACGTAGAATGTCTTAAACTTAGTATCATATAAATACGTGCGCAGATTTATTTTAGAGATATGGTCAGAAGTAATAAAAATAACATGAGCAAGTAACCGAGTAATTATAATCATTTACCCTCTTCTTTTATTTAAATTCATTAATAACATAAAGAAACGCGATATGATACTTTAATGATTTTAATAAATTATGTGTTTTTATTTTAAATCTATTGGGTGCATTGACATCTAGCCGATAATACATATTTACTGTTGTTATTACCTTTCTATCTGCAAGTATGGCACAGTTATTTTGAGCGAAATTATCATTCATACTTCACTAGTGCCTACTTACTTATATCTAACTAGCTTTTGCCTCAGGCTCCACTCGCGTGTATGTCGGTTATCGTGGTAGCCTATGTCCTTCCTCAAGAATCAAAGTATCTCCATGCTAAATTTCATTAACATCCGTGATAACATAATATACAGACAGACAAAATTACTTTCGCATTTATAATATTAGTATTAATTTATTAAATAATTACGTCTTTTGTGTCCTTTTCCAACACAAAACACAAAAGTGTTTCATTTATAAAAGTTCTAGCCACTTATTTAACCCTTTTTTTTCCGTGCGGAAATCCCCTCGGATACCACCTATCGGTGGCATGTCGGGCCATCTACAACAACAGGTAGACGACCCAGCCACTAATTTAACCTAAGAAGTAATTTATTTCGTAAGAATATACTTTTCAGTCACATATTGTCTATTCGTTGGTGTACATAAAACTACCGTTATTTTGTTTAATTAAAATGTTAGTGAAATGGCCACTTGTCTTGATACTCGACTACAAAAGTAGGTCATTGAAGAGTCAAGTCTCAAGTTTCTTATCTATTTAAGTCTAAACAACTGTGGATAAATGGCGACGCTCTGAGGCTGCGCTAAATAATGATAATTAATTATCCATTTGTTATACCCAATATTAGCAAGATAAACGCTCCATCGAATGGCGTGTTAGGTTACGCATTATGACTGTATTTTAATCTAACTTGAGTATACCGAATACGGTGGAATAAGAAAAACTGTTAAAGATTTATCATTTAATATTAAATCCATTTCAGAACAGTAAACTTACTAGACAAAAATAGTAATTCACACATTATTTCAATAATATTTATATCAAAATTATTGCCATGTAGTCGTATCAACATCTCTTTAATTAAAATGGCTGACGGTTTTACCCAATTAATAATTGCTTATGAATTATGGCAATTATTTCATTAAAATAGGTAGAAGAGTTATATTGGTTTATATTTCTGACTTAAAGTATTTTAATTAAATATTTAAAATAGGAACAATAAAACTTAACACTCTTTAAGATAAAAACGAATCATTTGTTCATTAAAACCTTCATGCTGAATAATAAGATCCTTTTTATGTCTTAACTTATTAACTAGTAGTTGCGCAGGAGATGGTCAATGTTATAATAAAGGTTTTAAATCGCGACGATCGTAAGAAGTCATTGTCCTGTCCAGTGATGTGGAACCCAACCAGAGTAAGAACGGGCCAATCGTGTTTGTTTTTGCATTATTATAAAATTCCTTACACAAATGCCTCTATCTCATAACATCGCTATGTATACTATCCAATGCCCTTCAAGTTCTTGTTGCCGTCAGATTGTTTAAGCTTCCCAAGAATTGGATCTTAAAATAAAAAAGCTAGTAGTGGTTTAAGCTCAGTATAAAAAACCCTTAGATTCGTGACCACTTTAGTACATATATATATATATATATATATATAAACATGTCAGGAACATGCCAAACCCGAACATCGATGATATCATTTTCCACAAGTTAAATAAACACAAAAAAACACTGTAAAAAGACGTGACTTAACATGACTAATATTGATGATCAATCAAATAAATTTATATCCAGCATGAAAAGATGTATGATAATTATGCGTTATAATATATTATGATGATTCATTTATCATATCCGATTACTTAATATATATCTTTTTAAATGCAATTAATACATTAAGTTCTGGCTAAGATTGTAAAGGATATTTGGAAAATCTAGTGTTTGTAAAAAATACCGCTGAAATAACACTGAAATTGGAAAAGCTTATTACGGACACGAGAAAGATAGTAAATTACAGTGTCTGATTAATTCAATGTATGAAGTATAATTAAAAAAATGTCTTATTAGTTAGGTTTGTAACTTTTCGACTTTTGTTAATGCTGTTGCAACAAAAATAAGGTTTTCCTAAAACACGCGAATTGTGCTTTTATGTTCAAGAATGTTCCTTTTAAGAAGGGGGGCAGGCAAATGCAAAGAAAGTAGGTAAGGAGGACAACCTGCTGTAAAATATACCGCAAAGATTGGAGAACGGGGCTGATACTGTACAAGATCGTAATTCGTAGGAGGAGCATGCACAAATGTCCGAATTTCCTGCGAAGCCTTCCTTCTATTTCGTAAGTCAGACCAAATTGTAGTTTTCAAATGTGGAACTGTGCCTGCCTCATTCTTCCCCTTAAGGAACATTAGAAATACACACTTGAATACTCACGTCTGTATTTCTGTTGTAATTATGTATTGTAATAAATAACTACTACTTAAACAAACAAACTACTAAATAATTTATTGACATTTCCTTGTATTTGTAATTTTTTGTTTAAGTGAATCTTGTTGAATTAAGAGCCTGAAGTAAATTTTTAAGATAAGTTCGTGTTCAAAATACGGATTAGTTCAACTACTCGGTAACAGATCATGGCATAGATTACTCAGGTGTTGCGTCTCCTGCATTCCATTGCTGCCAAACCGATGTTTTATTGTTAAGTTCAGAAATGTTTGTTACTTTCCTTAAAGCACAATGCAACTTAGAGTTTTAAAAGATGTTTTTCCAAAAGACTGACTTTCGTTATTGGATTGTTATATTATTCGTCTTCTTGTTCTATCTTATTCTTAGTACTCGAGGTTATTAGAATTGATTTAGATAGAGAGATATTTTTTTATTCATTTGACGGAATAAGGATATTTTATTGTTTAATTCAGTAAAAGTTAGGTAATTTTGTAATGATTTCAAAACTATTTATTTGTAAGCTTTTGTATTACCAACTAATTTTTCCCTTTCTATTAGCATTTATGTGTCCAAAAAAAATATATTTAATACTCCATATAATTATTATTACAATACCATGATCAAAAATAGTTGTGACCTATTCTTTGTTTCCGTGTGTTTAAGTTCTTTATTTACTAACGTGCCAACGAATATCTAAAGTAAGTTAAATGCTAAAACGTCATGATAATTGATTCCTTACTTTTCAAGACCATTATACGGTTTGAAGGTAGGTGAAATACTAGAATAAACATTACAATTTCTCATCAATTTTATAATAATATTGAAATAAGATTCCAATTAATAAAGTATTTTGTAAAAATAGGCTATGACACAGGCACACGATAGCGGAAAATGAAACACTGTCACGATCTGACCCAAGTCTGACATCCTCGTGATTTAAAACATGAATAACTTTAATGTTACTATAAATCGGTAGTTATCATAATACCTAATTTTTTTTAATTTACTTGTTTATTACAGCCTACAAGCAAATTAAAAAATGTTGTTACGGTTGAAATTGAGATTGATGTTTCTATAATAGCTTAGTACCTGAGAATACGTTTCGATCTATGTAACGATTTAATGGGGTATTAAAATAAATTGGTTCTCATCTAGTTAAACAGATGAATTAAAGGTAATAAAATAACTTAACACATCTCACATTCGGCCGTCTAATCCCAAACTAGACAAAGCCTGTACCATGGTAACCAGACTGCTGAAAGACTTTCTTCCATATTTCGTATGTACATGTATATTATAATAAAACCTAGAAACAGAATAAATGGTTACTTTGCCATGGGTGAGAATCGAACCTATATCCTCTAACTCAGTAGATATGATTAGTAACCACTAGATCAACAGGCCAGTCAACAATTGAAGTACACCACACATTAATTGAGTAAGTGTTTTTAAATAAATAATGCACACAAAAATTTAAATTATGAGTAACTTACCTATTACAACACAGTAAAACACACATAGCACAACCAGTGATTTGTACATTTTGATTTAATTTAATATTATTTTTAAATTGTTCGCGTTTTGGACGTATTAGGTGCGATTGCGCAGCGACGGGTTGCGAGTTTGAGTGCGAGCGTTCGAGTGATGCGCGCGTGCTTCATAACCGGATTAAAAGGACTTAGGCCATGCACACATTGCTACCGACATCACTTGCACTACTTAACAGTAGATTAGTTCCAGCATATAACATATACATCTATTGTTTTCGTGAAAGTTCAAAGTTTGTAACTTTCACGTGCTCTTTTCATAAACTATTCCATGTAAATTTTGAAATCATGCTTGTATTTTTATGAATGAAACTAAGATACTGTTTTCACGACGGGTCTTAATCAGTAATGTAATGTTTGCATTTCGGTATTGCGAGAATATAACGAAGTACTATGTCAATGAACTTTCTATAACGCACTCAGAGTGCGATTTCTGTACGCGGATATCAAAGTATGTTCGAAAAAAAAACGTTAAATGATTGTTTTTAGATGCAGACGATCAGATATCATCTGGTTAAGTCATTTAACTCTGTCGGCTTCTGGGATCCAATATCTGGAATGAAATATTCGATTTGATCAGAGGTAAGAACGCTTCTACGAAATACACACAATGCCTTAGTTAAAAGTTTTCCGTCAAACTATAATTTTTCATGTTAAAACAATATTGATAATATATTTTTTTCTCTAGTTCCTAGTTGACATGGAAAATACTCAAAGTTTTCAGAGTTTCGTGCTATTGGATAAAGGAAAGGTAAAGCACAGGTAATTACACGAAATAACTATCAAAAACTAATTAATTTCTAGTTTTAACACCTAGTTACATGCAATTTACATTCTCAAACTTCAAACAGTATATTTATTAGACTCACACATAAAATACCATCGCTTATATTTTGTGAGATTCAATTCACACTGCCTGTTAATTTCCTGCTTAAATTAAAAGCAGTTATCGGATTCAGGCTTCTATTTCGAAAGGTCTAATAACAACCATCTAATTAAATTACCCAGTTATATCAAAGTTTGAAAGGTATACAGGGAAAGGTTTCAATGAAAATTACCATTGATATTTTTTTCCTTTCTGTGTAATGTTTTAGTGAGGGAAGCAAAACCTTTGCACACTTTTAAACAATTTATTTTCTTTACACATTATAGTAGTAATAGTAGGCCAAAACCTCCTTTCTAAGGAGAGGCCTATTATAGTAGTGGCCTACTAGTCCAGCAGTGGACTATTATAGACTGTTGATCAAACATTTTAGGTGACGATCGTGAAAAGTTCTTTAGCTTTTGCAGTCTGCATGTACATTCAATATTATAGGTACAGACAAAAATCTCTAAACGTACAGACGGGTTACCTAAGGGCCTAGTGCAAGTTTATTTAACATCAACTCGCTCTCGACAGCGAGCACGTTCGGTGTTGTGATTGGTCCACAACCCCAGAATAAGTAAGAGGTGGGCCCCGGTAACCTCACTAACTCCGTGAAAAGCAAAGAAAGAATTACTAAACATCGGCCCTGTTGGTCTAGTGGTAAGTGACCCAGACTGAAAAGCCCGAGGTCTTGTATTCGATTCTCACCCAGGACAAATATTGTGTGAAATTAAATTACACCCAGACACAGAACAAATGACCGTGTACCGGGTGTAATTTTTTTATAATATGTATATATTTAAAAATATATAATACTAGTCTGGTTACCATAGCAAAGGCTCTGCCTGGTTTGGGATCAGACGGCCGTGTGTGAGATGTGTGAGGTATACTACTCTGTCAAAAAAGTACCGGGAAAAGATCAATAATACGCAAAATGATTGTTATTGTATTAGTAATTTGAGTTTAGGAAAAAGAAAGAAGTCTTCTGGAGCCATATCTGGTGAATACGGTGGTTGCTCGATTGATGTTGAGTGTTGGGTCAAAAATTTGTTCACAATGATGGCCTTGTGCGAAGGCGCATTATCGTGGTGCAAAATCACAAATCTGGCCTTTTTTCGTCGAATTTTCTCTCTTAAATGCCGCATGAAGCTCAAATAATATTCTTTATTTACCGTTTGACCTACCTTTGACCTTTAAGAATTCCGAGTGCACAACAACGCGATAGTCAAAGAAAACAGTCAACATGACTTTGACTTTTGATCGACTTTGGCGTGGTTTTTTCGGCTTCGGTTCAGTTGGAAGGCGCCACTCCGAATCTTGTTGATTAGTTTGCATGTCAAGCTCGTAAACCAACGTCTAGTCACAAATAACAATGCGTTTCATGAATGTTTGGACGGAATTGACTCGTTCTAGCATGTCCTCAGCGACTCTCATGCGATTGAGTTTTTGGAGAAAATTCAGGTCTTTTGGGACTAGCCGAGCGGTAACATGTTTAATACCCAAATGATTAGTTAAAATGGGACGGATCAACTCATGAGATACAGAAAGTTCGGCGGCTATCTCTCTCAAAGTTGAATGAGGATTTTCGGTCACTATTTCCTTCACTTTTGCGATGTTAACTTCAGTTGCAGACGTTGATGGACTACCAGAGCGAGGAAAACTTTCTATCACATCTCGAACGCTTTTGAACGCTGTGTACCACTCATAAGCACGTGCTTTTGATAAAGTCGATTCACCATAAGTCTTATGTAAAATTTTCACACTGGATATGATATAACTAAAAACAGCATTGTATTTAATATAAAAAACAGATGCAACTCAAACTCCGCGCCGATTTCGAAAACAGTTGGTCCAATCTAACAACAACAAAAAAAACAAAAATTTGAATTTGGAACCATAAACAAATCATCCATTACCGATACTCTTTTGACTGAATGTCTATAGTATCCATAATATGTAACTACTAAATATTGAGGGAAAACCAAGCCAAATAAATAATCTAGAAATCAATGCTCATTATAAACAAGTTGTTATTTCAGCGAAGGTCTTATCAGTATGATATATCTTCGTTTAACTTTTCGCTAAAAACAAGGTTGATTCAAGCGCCAATAAGCCAGTGCGCCAATGAACTAGAAGTCGTAAAAACCTAATATTACGTTAACAATTGTATTTATTCAATTATGTATTACGTAATATGCATGCAGGTCAAACTAATAGGTAGTAATGTGTGTAAAATTAAATGTGGCTTTTTATCGCGTGGCTGTTTTGACTTTGCGAAAATAATTGATAAAATAACGATGAATGGGTAATTATTTTCGAATCAATTTTAACACTTATAAGTGCATTTCAAAATCCTGAATAAGATTATGTGTATATTATAAATAATACACACACACAAATATACTGTTTCCTCTTTTGAAGGAGAAAAAAAATCACGATAGTCATTGAAAATAAACAATTCTTTCTATTGGTAGATGTCATACGACTTACAAAGAAATCAAATTGCATGTCCCTCCTAAATCAAATAACGTCACTATCTTACTGTAAGGCCACACACACACACAAGGTTTCAGCCTTCATTTCTCCTTTCCGTACGTTATTGAAAGTTGCGCAAGTAACTATCTTTAGCAAATCAAGCTGTACCTACCTGGAGGTATCTGAGATTTAAATCTTATTTCTCAGCGAAAGCATTTGAATAAGGATTTTCAACATTCATGAGTAGGATTTCCATCTTTTAAAATACGAAAAGACTTACCATTAGTTCATTTAAGAAAACTATGTAAGGCTGATACTATACACATTTGGACACTAGTACTAATGAAAATGCATATATATATTTTTAAACGTGGACTGTGATAGTGAGTTTAGAGAGTCCGATTCGAAGGTTGTAGCATTTTAATTATCTCTTCCGCACACATTCTTCCTAACGTGTTTACTAAAATAAATTATAACTTTAAATATTATTACTTAGTGTTAGTTAAACCTAGTTAAAAACTAGAGGTTAACTAGAGTTAGTATTGGACCAACAGTAGCACTGTAGAAAATAACGCCATCTAGTTTCAAACTAAGCAGAGCTTGTACTATGAAAGCTAGATTGACTGCGAATACTTGTATACATTTTTTTTTGTAAATACATACATATTATACATTGAAAACACACAAACTCTGCACAAATATTTGCAGATCATACAAACATTTGGTGTGCCCCTAGCATCGAACCCGAGACCTCAGCACAGTAGTCGTATACGCTACCACTACACCACCGAGGCAGTCATAATAGCTAAGAATAGCCAGTGTCGAAAGTATATACGAGTACGTTGCGAACCTTACGAGATGTTTTGTATTTCTTTGAAAATAACAGTATAAGACTCTCACGTTGAAGAAAACGCCATTTCGATTTCTACAATAGTTAAATAATATGTTTACATCCTTCCCATATCTTTTTACCACAATAAAGGTAATATACGGTATCTGATTAAAACATTTTAAAACATACATAGATATATATCGATCAAAATGTTGGTTAAGCTGTCATTTCCATGCCGTGTGTGTATCTGTGTACGTTTTTAATAACTGTCTTTAACAATCCAAATACATGGTGTTTATTTCTAATTTCCTGTACTAGTAGTAGCGACTTACAGTTCTTGTTCTCAATAAATGTAAAGTTAGTATAAACACTGTACGTTTTACACCTAGCCGAACTGAAAGTTCGTGAAAGTTGTACCCACAATTCGTAAGTGAGCTTTCTGCTTTTCCCAACCATAAAACACCACTATTTCGAGACAACCGTAACAGCTGTTCTAGAAATGTAAGTGTAATAAATTGTAGCTGTAGCGAAAACGCCACAAATCAAGTTTAGAAAAGTCGTGTTTGCACAACTAGCATTCTATACTTTCATGGAACTGATTTTATGAAACAATTCCAATTCTCGTAATAAAATTTCGGTGAAATTTCAGTTTCGATTAAATATAGATCTCGCAACTGTCATTTAAAAGGTATTTTGGTAGTAAGGTATTAAACTTCCAACGTTGACTATCATCTGATTATATCGCGTTGTAACGGAAAATTAAATCGGTAATCTGCTAGTCTAAGAATACTTTAATATTTTTTAAACTTGAATAAAGGCGACG